ACCGTTTGGTCCCCATTGAAGTCCATTATATGGAGAAAATCCTGGAATGTTTTCATCAAAAACCTTCATTTCTTTTCATCTTGGATGACATGGGGAAGAGTAAATTATCAGCAAAAGTTTTTTTAAAGTGAACTACTCCTTTAACGGCTTCATTGCCCATTCTCTCCAAGGACTCTGATGAAGATGCAACTTTACATTGAAACGTTAGTCAGTTATGCACCTTAAATACATGTATTATTAAGAGGACATCTGCGTTATTCTTTGTCCTGCCGTTTGCACCGGATTGCAGAAGCGCAGAGAACCTTCCTTTTCATTTCCAAACACTGTAATCTCTGTTATCACTGTGAAGCTGCGGTGAAACTCTATATTGTTAAAGCGCTGTATAGATGAGGAGACTCGACTGGACTATAATGATATCTGGTGTCTGAATTAATGTTTGGTTTGACTGTAAATACAGCGTTTGGACGAGCCACATCCTCGACTGCAACTAAAGCAAACCACAGAGTCTGATAGACAGAAACCTGGTGTCCGCGGTCGTGGAGATTAAAACCACACACACACACACACACACACACACACTCGTGCTCGTCTCAGACCAGAATAAAGAGACACACACACGAGCAGATGCTGTGAGGATCCAGGGGTTCAGCACAAACAGCCCTTTCAAACATCTTAACCTGTTGACATATATCATATTTTAGGATAATCATCATAAAGTCCATCATTCGAAAAGCGTAAACATCCAGAACTCGTCCTGAGGAACCGGTTGTGTAATCGGACACGGCGGTGCCATGGAAACGGCACTTTAGCGGCGGTGTCACGTTTTATAATCACAGGATCCTCAACTTCACATCTGCAACTCACTTCTCCAGAGCGGAGATATATATATATATATATATATATATGAACTGAATTAATAACTTTTTTAGCTTTTTTTACAGGAGAAATAACTTTAGCTGGACTGTGACGCTATTCTCTTCTGGAAACACACTGATAAACTCGACTTTCTAGCAGTTTTAGAGTGATTTTGTAAAATATTGATTTTGTATAAAATTAAAAATGTTGAGTTCATTACATTTGCTTTGCAATAATCTTTTAATTTTTGAAGTGTTTCACTTCTTTGCATCTGCCGAACGTCTTCTTTAAAGAGACCAACCGGACACTGCTAAACAATCTCGACTTCCAATATCTAAACATTAACTCGGTTTACATCTCAAGTAAACGTATCTTGATTTAAGACATTAAAAAGATAAAACTGAAGTGAGGTTGAGCTAAAAATAAGAACAAATGTCTGCCAGTGGAGTTTCCCTTTGGATTAAGTTTATTTTTGTATGTTTTATGTTTTAACACTTCATCTCTATACATTTTTCATTAAACAAGACTTAATATTTTACATATTTTTGCTTCTCCGGTCTGATTTAAGAATGTTTATAGCCATATAAGTTCAGATCTATCATTTATCTTCTGTCATCATTTACTCACTCAAGTTGGTTCAAACCTGTATGAACAAATAACCGCAAATAATGCTTTTCTTACTTTTGGTTTCCAGTCCAAATATCTAAAAATACTTAAGAAAATGACATAAGAAATTATATCTTGTTTTCTGAAGAATTTTTTTTAATAGTTTTTGCTTAAAACAAGTAAAATTATCTGCCAATGGAGTAAGAAAAATAATCATGTTTTCCATTTGAATCAAGATATTTTTTCTAGTTTTCCAATAAGATTATTTTTCTTCGGCAGATCTGTCATTAAATGCTTCTTGATTTAAGAATTCTTAGATTTTGGAGTGGAAACCAGACAAAAATATTAACTAAGAAAGTGAATTTCTTTCTTCTGTTGAACACAAAAGAAGATACTGTGAAGAACGTCGGTAACTAAACCACTTTCACTAGTTTTGCTCCTTCTACAGAAGTCAACGGGTCCATCAACTCTGCTTTCCAACATCTTCTTTAGTGTTCAGCAGGAGACAGGAACCGCTCGAGGGAGAGTGAATGATGACAGAATGTTCATTTGAGAGTGAACTATCCCTTTAACAGGTTTCGCCGGATCTGACCACCCAAACGCACTTTAACGCAGCCGCCATTTATTTTCACTGCTTTAACAATCTTGCAGCTCCGGTCCCTGTTTCAGGCTTGAGTTGGGATGATGAGTCCAGGGCCACAACGTCTCCTCTGTGCTTTGTGCGAAAGGTTCACGGGAAGAGCCCTAAAACGTTCCACTGTATAAAGGTCACGAGTCTCCAGTTACAGGTCAACGTGGAAGAGGCGAACACATGCTCACACACACACGGTTAATGTCACTATTACCATCTGACATCACTCCAAAAACACTCATAAAACAGACACACACACTCACACACACATGAGATGCGGCCAGAATCAGAGCCAATGTCCCTCAATAATCACTTATTCTCCTATTTTCCTTTCGGGCCCTGCACATGTTGGTCATTTCAACGGCTCTATTCACGTCTCCATTTTAACATCTCCAATAAAGTGTAATTGAACCTCATTACTGCCTAATTGTAGGGTTTTACCGCCTCAGCGCACTCACACGCCTCTGGATCATCGCTGACCTGCAGTTACACGTTCCTTCAGTTTATATGAACACTGAAAATGTTTGTCTAAATTTGATCGCCAATTTTTTATTTGTATAGAGCTTTTCACAATACACAAAGTTTCAACAGCTTTACTGAAACACATGAGTCCACATTACAATTTACAGTCTGTTATCAGAGGTAACTGTCTAAGTTATGTATTTAAGAAATGTACATTTAAAAAAAATCACAGTTAGCTAAAAATGTATTAATTTAAACAATGTAATAATTTAAGGCAGTAACAATGAGCTCATTGAAGTAATGGATACTAACAAATGATCATGACATTTAGAAAAATGACTTTCTTGACATGTTCCTTACCAGTGAAATCACAATTAGAGAATTACTTACCTGTGTGAAATCATAGTTTGAGTTCAGATGTTTACCACCCAAAAGCTAACGTTAAAGTATGGCTAATGTTATAGATCGTTAATTTAAATAAAGCAGTTCACCTAAAACTGATCCTTCTGTCGTCATTTAAAGCCCAAACATGATAATTATTTCCAACAATATAATAATCAACACCAACGATAACGTTGTTTATTTGAAGTTTACTTTAAAACTAGGTGTATTCTGACTGAATGTTCATGTTTTTATCAACTCGGGCATAAAATCGAGTGCATGTTGTTAAGGGTAGTTATGTATCTTCTCCACACTGAATTAAAACGATTATTAAAACTGTACTTACAATTATTTTCCTTGGCGTGAACGCGTCTTTACTCGGCCTCATGTAGTTTCAAACATGTTGGCCCTTTACTCTGTGGAATATACAATATTTTCAGTTTCAGATTTGTGATTCATTTAAGAAATAATTCAGACACAAGAGGAAGTACATACAATAATTTGCATTTTCAGTGAACTATACCTTTACTAGCAGATTTTTTAGGAAGTGTCATGCTAACGTACTATCCTTGTTAAAAAGTTGACAACCAAACGTTTTTAATAACATATTCTGCTAAAAGGTTTCTTACCTGTGTTGAATCATAGTTTGAGCTGTGATGCTTCTTACATGTGTTAAATGTTAGTTTGAGATGTTCACTTAAAATCTCTCCTCAGAGTTGACGGTCACTCGACAAATTAGTCACGCCATCACTCAAAAGAACCGCGCGCGGGAAACAAGACTCGAACTCCCCAACGACCAGCCGCTCATCTGTCAAGCCCTCAGCCGTTTTCTCGCATTATTTTCCACCATATATTATTCTTTCCTTGCGTCTTTTTCGAGTAGGCCGGGAGTGCAGTGGGTGTTTGAACTGGAAGCGTCTTGCCGTTGTTTTCTTTCCTAAAACACCTGTACAAACAGCGGCCGCGCCAAGTGACAGCTCTCGTTCTGACACAGCGGGAAGCGCGTACCCACCACTTTAGCGGACGCGCGCATACCTGACCAAGACGATCGCGTGCGCTCAATATCTGAAATGCAATAAAATAATTAATAAGCGACGACTTGACCCTCAGTTATCGTCACCATTGTACAGAAACAATATATAGGTTAATAGAAAAATACCTTAATATAAATAGGCAGGTCCATATTTAAATTCCCCCTGTGGTGAAACTCCAGCTTTTAATGTTGTTTGTGTGTCTATGTGGTGTTTTTAATACGCTTTAAGACAAACCATGTGTAAATACATAAGTCGACAGGATTGCTGAGTGTTTTCTCCTTAAAACTGCAGTGCACCAAAGACACTCTCAAGCTGGTGTTTCTGACGTCACAAACTACCGTGTAACCAATCAGATCAACATGTGATCGTCAACCAGTGGATCTCTGAGCTGAGTGAGTGAGTGAGTGAGTGGAGGCGGGCTCATTTGCATATTCATAGAACCGCAAATACTAAATGAGGCAATGTATTTTAAGTTACCGGCCATTCAGAACTTCTACTAGCCAATATATATATATATATATATATATATATATATGTTTGCATCAATTACAGTTACTATAAAGTTTTGTAATAATTTATCATTAAACGTTGAAAAGCTGAATAGTGCAGTTAATATATTCCTGTCTCTCAGTGAAGGTCAAGTGAGGAGCGGCTCTAATTGTGCAGATAAATGATATGTGGAGCACAGGAACAGTGAAGTGTGTAGCGTACAGTGAAGTGTGTAGCGTACAGTGAAGTGTGTAGCGTACAGTGAAGTGTGTAGCGCACAGTTCCACATCAGATAAAGTGACGAGCGCTCGTGTGTAAGAGCTGTCCAGAAGAGACTATTTCAAGACCAATTACTCACCGGCATCATGTTACAGTAAATTACAGGCAGACATTTGAATGATATTAATATTGGACAATATTCCTGACCACATGTCTACATCCTCCTCCACATTAATACATCTCCTGACCGTGGGATTCGGAAAAGACATATTTTACTTTTCCAGAGGAATGAAGATGGAAGGAAAAAAACCCAGACGTCCATGTCAACATTTGTTGTGACATTTATTCCTAAACGCTACAACGCTCTACAACACCTGGACAGGCTCGAGTTTACAAATACATTCAGTTTATAAATAGAAATATACAGAAACTTCTCTAAGTAGAGGGATCTGTGGAAATGAAAACACACTCGCGCACAGACCAACACATTACTCAAACTGAGTTCACAGCAGCGGCGAGTGTTCAACAACATGTCTCTGTGCGACTCCAGATTATTGGTCCAATATGATGCTCGTAAACATCAGATATCAGTTCTGAACACAGAGGAGTCACTCCTGATGCGCTCCGGATATCAGGAACACAAAAGGAGTCACTCCTGATCCGCTGCGGATATCAGGAACACAGAGGAGTCACTCCTGATCCGCTGCGGATATCAGGAACACAGAGGAGTCACTCCTGATCCGCTCCGGATATCAGAAACACAGACAGGGGAGTCACTCCTGATCCGCTCTGGATTTCAGGAACACAAGAGGAGTCACTCCTGATGCGCTCTGGATATCAGGAACACAAGAGGAGTCACTCCTGATCCGCTCTGGATATCAGGAACACAAGAGGAGTCACTCCTGATCCGCTCCGGATATCAGGAACACAAGAGGAGTCACTCCTGATGCGCTCTGGATATCAGGGACACAGAGGAGTCACTCCTGATCCGCTCCGGATATCAGGAACACAAGAGGAGTCACTCCTGATGCGCTCTGGATATCAGGGACACAGAGGAGTCACTCCTGATGCGCTCCGGATATCAGGAACACAGAGGAGTCACTCCTGATTCACTCTGGATATCAGGAACACAAGAGGAGTCACTCCTGATCCGCTCCGGATATCAGGAACACAAGAGGAGTCACTCCTGATGCGCTCTGGATATCAGGGACACGAGAGGAGTCACTCCTGATCCGCTCCGGATATCAGGGACACAGAGGAGTCACTCCTGATGCGCTCTGGATATCAGGGACACAGAGGAGTCACTCCTGATGCGCTCCGGATATCAGGAACACAAGAGGAGTCACTCCTGATGCGCTCTGGATATCAGGGACACAAGAGGAGTCACTCCTGATCCGCTCCGGATATCAGGGACACAAGAGGAGTCACTCCTGATCCGCTCCGGATATCAGGAACACAAGAGGAGTCACTCCTGATCCGCTCCGCATATCAGGAACACAAGAGGAGTCACTCCTGATGCGCTCTGGATATCAGGGACACAGAGGAGTCACTCCTGATGCGCTCCGGATATCAGGAACACAGAGGAGTCACTCCTGATTCACTCTGGATATCAGGAACACAGAGGAGTCACTCCTGATTCACTCTGGATTCCGCATATGAGAATATAAAAAATAAACTACAGCATGAAAAGGGGGAACACTGTGTAAATTGAGTAAAAAATCATCATGAAGAGTTTTTTTATGTTGAAATGTGTTCAGAATGGCCTTCTATAAAGGTACTTTCTTCCATAACACACACACACACACACTCTCTCTCTCTCTTACACACACATACTCTCTCTCACTCCCTTACAGTCTCTCACACACACAAAACAAAGATTTAAAAGCTCAGGTAAAACTTTTACACATTAAAGCTTTTTAATTTATGTAACACACAATATCTAATTGGCAAATGTAGGAGGAAGAAAAACATGAAGAGTAGATTTTGAGTTTATCGCCGTCCGAACGACTGACTCTGAGTTCGAGACTCTTTACTGAGGCTCACGTGAACGAGGCCATGATGATGATGAAGATGATGATGAAGATCACTGTATGACACACATGGAGCTGCGAGGAGGATTGACGGCTCGAGCCACCGTCTCCTGACTGTAGTTCACGATGTCTGCTTTCACCACGTGCTGCAGAAACACACACACACACACACACACAGTCATTTAACATCATCACTGTCTTCATTACATATGGAAACGTTTACATGTACAGTAGCAGTCAAGAGTTCTCACACACACACCTTTTATTATTACGTGTAAAAATAATAGTGAAGAAAACTGATAAAAACAAGAAAGAAAATGTCAATAAACTCAAAAACATTACTGAATATTAACAGTCATTTAAATAGAAATGTGCACACAAGTCTAATGTTTAACAGTTTAGATAAGCATGACGTTAGTTATGGATATTAAGATCACAAGAAACTAATTAAGTGCATTTAAACTTCTGACTGGATCAAATGTATGTGATATTGTGAAATAATCTAAAATTAAAGAGCCTTTACATGTGACTGACACACACACACACATTACAGAGCAACAAACACTTTAAACTCTGAACTACTGCATTCAAAATCAATCTACAACAATAAAATAATGATGAACACACACACACACACACATACTCTCTTAAACTAATAAACACACACAGACACACTCACATACTGTTATTGGACAGAGCAGATTTTGCTCTGATTGTTCTCTTGTTTAATTGGTCCCTCATCCTGAGGATAGTCCACCAACTCCGCTTTGACAATACGCTAAACACACACACACACACACACACGCACACACACACAACACACACACACACACACACACACAATGGAAATAAAGAAATGGAGAGAAGCAGAACAGAAAAATGAGGTTGCATGCATTAAATAAAGGAAGAAAATAAAGATGATTTACAAATGACAAATAATATTAAGTGAACACACAGTCAGTGAGTGTGATGTGAAATGACTGAAGAGTTCGTATAAGTGTGTGTGAGAGAGAGAGAGAGAGAGAGAGAGATCATATTCACCTGCGACTGCTCGATCTCGGCTTTATTCAGCTTAATTCCTACAATCTCAGCGGCCAGCCTCTGGAAACACACACACACCTGCAACACAGACGATAAAACACTGACACACACCTGAACACGGCTGATCCACTGATCCGAACAAATCAGTGTTTGTAGAATGGTAGAAGCTTATATGTGGTGTTTTAGTTGTGTATAAGTGTGTATAAGTGTTTTGTGTATAAGTGTGTATAAGTTGTGTATAAGTGTTTTATTTATAAGTGTGTACCCTTAAAGGGACAGTTCACCCGACACGTCTTGTCATGGACAGATACACTTTTATGATGACTAATGACTAATGACACTTTAATGACTGAGTGAGTGAGAGTGTGTGTGTGTGTGTGTGTTACTTACAGAGTCTCCAGTCTTCGCAGACACGAACTGACTGATGAGGCCGTTTTCCTGACAGAATCGCTGATGTTTCTCCATCTTTACGGTCCGCATGTGTTCCAGATCAACTGCACACACACACACACACAAGAGAGATAGAGATTATAATTGTGAAGCATAACACCCTTTCCTAGATTTTAAACGCTAATAACTGTAAATCACAATGTAAAGTGTCAGTTATATTACTTAATAAAACTGGGTTATACAAATGAACATTCGGATGTCTGTGATTTATACCAACAAACGCTTATGAGTCTGAAAATCTGCATCAGAACGGCTTCATTGATGTTTGATGAATGAATGAGTGTGTGTGTGTGTGTGTGTGTGTGTGTGTGCGGTCCACAGTCATGTGGGGTTTGAGTGACAGCAAATGATGAATCATAATTGTGGTGAACGATCCATAACTGTAATCCCTCTGAGCTGCTTCACACACACACACACACACACACACACACACACCTGTGAGATAATGTACAGAATACCAGCCGTCTCAGCCCTGAGGACACACACACTGTGATCTGGATTCTCTGCTGTCAGCAAGACTCTGATTTAGTGCGAACACAACAATGGCGCTCTGACACCCGTAACACACCCGTCTGTGATGTCACTGCGAGGTCACGCAGAGGTCACAGGGGTCAGGAGCTTCTACACAGCTCTTTTCACTTCTGTTACAGAAACACCTGTGTGTGCATCTCACGTTTCTCCATCTCCAACTAAACAAACACATTAAAGATGCTGTTCTTCCTCAGTGTTTCCAGCACACACACACCTAAACACTCTCCAATCAGGACACGTACTGGAGAAGATATGAAGACGTCATCAAAAACAGATTAAAATGAAGTGAGTTTGTGCTTAAAACAAGAACAGATATCTGCCTGAAACTAGGGATATATTTTCTATATAAACACTCATGTTCACACACACACACACACACACACACACACACACACACACGTGTCTACATCTGTAACTAAACACTGATAATCCCACAGATCCTGTTCAAGTCTGCACAGTCAGTCAAATGGCCACACACACACACACACTCACACATTCACTTGAACTCACACAAACACGCAGTTCACAACTGAATCACTCAACAAATCAGTAGAGTAACAGATTCAATGACTCGTTCCTGATCGAATCAGCTGTTTGAGCGAATCGTTTGAGTGAATCTAAGTAAGTAAAGTTTATTTATAGAGATATTTATAGATATTTATATTTATTTATGAATGACTCAGTGACTCATTCCTGATCGAATCAGCTGTTTGAGCAAATCGTTTGAGTGAATGACTCAGTGACTCATACCTGAACGAATCAGCCGTTTGAACGAATCGTTTGAGTGAATGACTCAGTGACTCGCTCAGTACTGCCCCCTACTGGCTTGTAACATTATTTAATGCAGTCGTAATTTTTCAGAGTGAATTATTTATTTTAATTGGTAACAGCGCTAATAGTGTCTTATTCTTCTAATTGCATTTATTTCTCAAATTGAAGAATTTAAAATGAAAGATGAAGCATGTATTTAAAACTATTTGGGGGGTAATGCCTTTTATAAAGGTTAATATATCATAAATATGTGGATTTAAATATAACACTGATGAGAATATTGCTGCAGAATGAATTAGATTTACTCTATAACACACATAAAAACTTTTTTTTTCTGGACAAGCTCATTTTTTACACTGAGAAATGAATGAGTGATTTACGTGTGTGAAGGACAAACACATGAGCCCTGCTTAACATCATCAAACCACTGATGTGATCATATTAACACACACACACACACAGATCACATTCAACACACAAGATGTTCTGACAGGCCTCATTCATTACCAGCGCAAATCCTGCAGAGAAATATTTAGCTAAAAGCTATTGTTACCAAATATAGCGAGTTATTTTAGCTCTCGAGTTTAACCTGGCGAACAGAGGAGTGTTATTCTGCTCTGAACCTGAACGTCACCGTGAGACACACACACACACACAACATCAACACGGCGATCCAGGGGTCCGTCTGCACATCGGGGCCGTTTCTCTCCGCTAATCTAATCTAACGCAGCGACACACACTGATCCCGCGCTCGTCTCGCTATCGGCCGATCTGCTCTGCTTCTCCTCAGTGTGTGTGTGACGAGTGTGTGTCACGAGTGGGAGATACTGTGGAGAGTGATGGAGACTCCTCCGGCTTTACACTCGTTGTGTTTACTTAAAGAGCCGCCGACCAGGAGCCCTGCACACACTCACTGTCACACACACACACATCAATCACTCAAACACACACGACTCACACTGGCGCTGGAATCGTGTGCTCACGCGGAAATAAAGCGGTGGTCAAGATGACACGGAAAAGTGCAGTTTTACCATGAAGTCACCATATGGCTTTCAGCACTGTGTAAAACAAAGAAAACACACCAGGAGTGTGTGTGTGTGTGTGTGTGAGGGAGCAGGATCGTAAACAGAAGCGTGTGACACACTGACTGAGATCAGAGATCTTCATTAGCGGATCAGTTAAACGCTTCAGCTCTCTTCCATTAGCAGGACAGCAGGCGAGCGAGAGGTCAAAGGTCAACGCTCGCTCGCTAAGTGGAGTAAACACAGGAGCGTCGGTTCACGTCAACACACACGCAGATCCACACAAACACATTACAGTCACTGCACACAATCAGATGATGAACACACTCTCTTCTGAGTGTATTTATGATGGGAATGTGTGTGTGTGTGTGTGCGTCATAGAGTTTTATGGGTCCTCTGGCGTGTTGAAAGCCAACAAAAGCTCCAGTGCTGAAGAGGCCACACAAGACGCTCTCACACACACACACACACTATCAGACACACACTTTCCTTCTGTACTGGTAAAGACACATGTACCTGACACACACACACACACACACACACGCATGTGTGAAGCGTAATGGCCCGTGATGTACCACACAGGTTGGTCTCAGCAACACCATGTGCACCAATATTTACCCAGCGATTCAAGCGGCACATGGAGAACTTTCCACACACATGCCCCTGAAACAGATCACATGACCCCGATCCTGAGCTCTGATTGGTGCTCGGACTCCACGGCCAGGTGTGACTCGGGTCATCTGACTGCTGAATACGACAAACATCGGCACACACACACACACACAATAGAACCAATGGAAATTATTTGGACAATTGCACACATTTTACAACTCATTTTTGAAACCGACCTATGTAACTAAGCTAAGTTAACTAAGCCACACGAACTGTACGAGAACTGTATGAGAACCACATGAGAACTCCACGAGAACTATACGACAAATGGACGAGAATTTTACGAGAACTATACAACAACTATACAGGAACTACATGAGAACTATACGGGAACTATACGACAACTGTACGAGAACTATACAGGAATTGTGCGAGAACTGCACGAGAACTGTACGAGAACCACATGAGAACTGTACGAGACCTGCACGAGAACCACATGAGAGAACCACATGAGAACTGTGCGAGAACTGCATGAGAACCACATGAGAACTGTACAGAAATGCACAAGAACTGTACGAGAAATGTACTAGAACCACATGAGAACTGTGCGAGAACTGTATGAGAACTGCACGAGAACCACATGAGAACTGTACGAGAACCACATGAGAACTGTACGAGAACTGCACGAGAACCACATGAGAACTGTACGAGAACCACATGAGAACTGTACGAGAACTGCACGAGAACCACATGAGAACTGTGCGAGAACTGCACGAGAACCACATGAGAACTGTACGAGACCTGCACGAGAACCAACATGAGAACTGTACGAGAACCACATGAAAGAACCACATGAGAACTGTGCGAGAACTGCACGAGAACCACATGAGAACTGTACGAGAAATGCACAAGAACTGTACGAGAAATGTACTAGAACCACATGAGAACTGTGCGAGAACCACGTGAGAACTTTATGAGAACTGCACGAGAACCACATGAGAACTGTACGAGAAATGCACAAGAACTGTACGAGAACTGCACGAGAACAACATGAGAACTGTACGAGAACTGCACGAGAACCACATGAGACCTGTGCGAGAACTGCACGAGAACCACATGAGAACTGTGCGAGAACTGCACGAGAACCACATGAGAACTGTACGAGAAATGCACAAGAACTGTACGAGAAATGTACTAGAACCACATGAGAACTGTGCGAGAACTGCACGAGAACCACATGAGAACTGTGCGAGAACTGCACGAGAACCACATGAGAACTGTGCGAGAACTGCACGAGAAATGCACAAGAACTGTACGAGAAATGTACTAGAACCACATGAGAACTGTACGAGAACTGTATGAGAACTGCACGAGAACCACATGTGAACTGCACGAGAAGTGTACGAGAATCACATGAGAACTGCACGAGAACTGCACGAGAACCCCATGAGAACTGCACGAGAATCACATGAGAACTGCACGAGACCTGTATGAGAATCACAAGAGAACTGCACAAGAACCACATGTGAACTGCACGAGAACTGTACGAGAACTGTATGAGAACTATACGAGAATCACAAGAGAACTGTACGAGAAGTGTACGAGAACTACATGAGAACTGTATAAGAACTGTATGAGAACTACACGAGAAGTGTACGAGAAGTGTACGAGAACTGTACGAGAACTGTACGAGAACTATACAAGAACTATACAAGAACTGTATGAGAACTGCACGAGAACAGTAAGTACTGAGGTGAGCTTTAGTGGAGGGAAAGTAATCAATGAATAACAACTTCATGTGTAGATGATGGTGATCGAATCGAGCAGTGTGTGTGTGTGTGTGTGTGTGTGTGTGTCTGCTGTAAAAATGTATCTATATTTGTGAGGTCTGCCCTCCTCCTCCATCTTCATGGGAACATGCAGGTCTGCCCCAAACACACACACACACACACACACACACACACGAGCCTGACAATCAAAACAAAACAGAGAAGAAAGAAAAACAGGCTCAGTTTCTGTGCGATGAGTCCCAGCAGACTGAGAGAGACACACACACACACACACACACACACACACACACTCACACACAACGTCCCAGGCAAACTTGAGTTAAACTAAAGGTCCAAATCTTCGTCTGTGTTTTCCATATCTGGATTGTTACGCACTTCTCAAACACTTGCTACAGAAAACAGAAAATTAAACCCGAACCAATTTTTTTCTGACGGATGAAAGTTTCGGAGGCGGTGTGTAAGCGTGATGACATCACGTGAGGGCGTATCTTTCTTTCAACGTGCGAGAAACCTTCGGACTGAGCAACTCTGATCCCTCCAGAACTCCTCTAAACCATCGAGAAGAAACAAACACACACACACACTCTCCCACACACAGAGGTCAGTAAAGATGGTCAGTCATACATCAGAGAGGTCAGAGGTCACAGGTCAGAATGATACATCCACTGTCTACATAGTTTAGTGAATCCCACACTCATAACAAACTCACACACACACACACTCATAACACACACAGCACCGTAATGATTACAGATTTACACTGACGTCAATGATAAAGATCCCGTCGCCTCACACACACACACACACACACACTACTGCCATGAAACTAACCGTAAATAAAGTTAATCCCATTATCGAACTATATTAGCACTGTCATTTTTACAGTTCATTATTATTGTGTGTGTGTGTGTGCGTGTGTGTGTGTGTGTGTGTGTGTGTGTACTCACTCTTGTTCCCGATCAGTGATATGGCAGGTTGTGTGTCGGACTCCTCGTTGGCTTTTCTCACCATGTTCAGCCAATCTTCAAGATTCTCAAAACTCTGAGAATTAGTGATGTCATACACCAGCAGCACACCCTACACACACACACACACACACACACACCATCATCACCAGGATTTCATATAACCGGAACATAATTTGGTTAATAATATGGCTTTGATTTTATAGCAATTAGAGTCTAAATGAGTTTTGTCAAATATATTCAGTTGTAGTTAACTTTCGTAAACTTGAACTTCAGTGTGTTTTAAAGACCAGCGTTATCTACTTTACATCTGTATTCCAGAGCACTCATGAGCACAACCCGCCACGGGGGTTCAATCAGTGCTGCGAAATGAAGAGATCATGTCTCTGTGTGTGTGTGTGTGTGTGTGTGTGTATACGTATGTGCGTGTTTGGGCAGCAGGTGACGCTAGAGAGTGTGTGTGTGTGTGTGTGTTAACTGCACTAATTATCTTGCTAAACATTATTTAGCAGCACAAATATTCCTCTGCTCAAACACACACAAATGGCCATATGCATGAGTGTGTGTGTGTGTGTGTGTGTGTGTGTCACCTGCGCGCCGTAGATGTACTTGTCCAGCATCTTTCCTCCGATGGTCTGTCCGCCGATGTCCCAAACCTGCAGCGCCACATTCAGGTTCCCTTCACACAGAAACACCTCACATTACACACACTTACAGCACACACACACACATGGTTCTGTCCAAGTGTGTGTGTGTTTTCAGTAACACGTTCATTTCATTCTTATAATATGAGAATTCATGGAAAAATGATGATTTTATGATGTTATTTTCAATGATAAATTTAGAAAGAATACATTTTCTGTAATAATGTCATATAAAAATACAATTTAAAAATTAAAAGAAATTTATATAATATAAAACAAATAATAATTAAATAATAATAATTATTAAATATAATAATAATAATAATAATTAATAATAATAATTTTCTTTATTATAATTAAATTTATAGTAATTGATTGTAAAAAAAGGATTTCGATCATTTTTTAAATGCTAAATTTAGAAATAATACATTTTCTGTAATAATGCTAATAAAAATACAAAATAAGAGAGATTTAAATAAATGTAAAAATAAAATAATAAATTAATTCATTGTAGAATAAATAACACAATAAATTAATTAGATTTTAAATACATATAATTTATAATAGATATCATATTAATAACATGATTGAAAATATTTCTCCACTGGTCACACAGCGTCACAGTCACTGCACTCAGACTATACAGCGGCACACACACACACACACACTTCTCCTCACGAGCTTCTATAAAGATCTCTTCTTTATTTATTCTAGAAGTCAATCTTTACGGTAAGTGACGCTGGTTCTGCCAGCGTACGGTGAATGTGCTGACGCAGTGTGTGTGTGTGTGTGTGTGTGTGTCAGTTATGGTCCATGAGAGCGTGAAAACAGAAGCAGAGGAAAGAGCATTATATACGTCAGGAATAAACACACGAACAGACAGAACGACTGTGTGTAAAGACACGATTACTCTCGTGCAGTTCTTCCTTTCTAGTCGAATTTCTACTCTTTTCTAATCTATTCAACATATAGCCTTTTAAACCTCAAACTTCAAACCTTCAAACTTCATTTCTAAATCTACTCTAAAGCTCTTAAACTCTCCGGTCCGGCCATTCCCATTTCCATTCCAGATTTTACGCATGTACAAAATAGAGAAATTCTGACATATACCTTTAAATCTAAATCCTACATTTCAACAATAGTGAAAGTGCGCAACGCTTCACCAAAGCCTCACTCTTGTCTTCATGTGTGTAAGTACGACTCGTGGCGTATTGTTCTCCGCGACGGATAAGAATAGCAGTGAAGCGAGATCCGCCGACTCTCCAGCCACACACACGCCTTTCAGACGAGCGCTGCGCATGTGTGTGTTTAGGAGTTAAGAGCTTTCCTAGGCAATAAAGTTGAAAAGAGGCAGACGCACAACAAACACACACACACACACTGGAGTGATTCATGCAGAGGTCCAGGACACACACACACACACACACGTCCAGCAGCTTCAGAAACACTTGAGAACATCAGCGTCAGGACAGAGATCTATTCATACGCATGCGTGTGCTTTAACTCGACTACAGGCTTGCTTCAGTCGGATCAACAAACTTTACAGACAATATTTTTGCTATTTTTATTTGTTAGAAATGTTGGTAACACTTTATTTCACAGTGTCCTTGTTAAATATGTTATGTACTTAATATATTAATAACAGTGAATGATGCAGAATTTCATGCTAGCCCTCAAACCCTAACCCTACAGTAACCCTAAACTAACCCTAAACTTACCCTAAACTTACCCTAAACTAACCCTACAGTAAGATCATAGTTAATTAATATTACTCAGTACTTATTAGTAACCAAAATCTTCAGTCAAATCGTCTTCTGGTATGACTTTATTCATCATATATAATATAATTAAACAATTGTCATTAGCTAATAAGTTCTAATTGTTTTAAGTTATTGTTTTAAGTTAATATTAAAACAATATATATATATATATATATATATATATATATATATACAGACCATTTCACAAGATGTAAACAACACTGGTCCAGAAGCACTTCCTGTTTCAGTTTGTAACTGTTTTCTTTATTTCACATGTAAAGAAAACATCTTAAAGATACGTGTTTAACTTTTTGATCCAGTTTTAAATGTTCTGTAGGTTGTATTTTATCCCAGCTTTTATGTAGTGTTAAAAAACTGAAACAGGAAGTGCTTCTGGACCAGTGTTGTTTACATCTTGTGAAATGGTCTATATATGTTTGGCCAGTAATTATCAGAGTTGGTTAATTTTTTGGGGATTTGAAGACAAATTCAACCTGATGACACAATACATGGATTTCATCAGTTTCACAAGTAAAAAAAAAATTTTTAATACATAATTTAATTTAACTTTTTTTTAATAAAAAGCATGCTTTTGGTTTGCTAGCTTATCTCAAATTAAGAAATTCATTTTTTAATTTAAAAGGCATTCTCAATGCAATTCAAAATGACTCGCATGACTGATGATTAATAAAACATGAACTAAAATGGGAAATATTAAAATAAAAAAATGTTCAAAATATTCATAAAATAAGTATCTCAATTATATTTTTAGTATCATTAAGATGCTTTTATAGTTTAACGTGTTTTTCCGTGTGGACGGAGCATGTTGGAGGAAATATTTTAATAATAATATTTCATAATTATTATACATGCAATTTCATGAGTCTAACTGAAAGTGGAAGAATATAAGAGAACTTAAAGAAATCTGAAATCGAAATGAAGAATAAAGTTCAGGTTTGTGTAATTCGTCAACTACTTGCTTATGTATGTGTGTGTGTGTGTGTGTGTGTGTGTGTGTGTGTGTCTAACCTGGTAGGTTGATTCTCTTGAGGAAGAAGTCCAGCCCTATTGTCTGTTTATACTGTTTCCCAAAAGCCTCTTGTGCAAAGCGGATGGCGAGCGATGTCTGAGAAACACACACACACACATTAGAACAGTTTTATTCTCACCTATCCTGAGGCTCCGCCCACTTCCCTGTGGCTGCAGATGAAAACATCTTTGATTGACAGGTTCTTCATGTCAAGTACCACAGCGAATCAGATCACGTCTGTGTGGTGAGACACTCTCGATCCCCATCACCACATAACACACACACACACACACACACCTCTAACTTTACACACACAGAATAAAGGGGCTTTGAAACACGGTGCAGCGAAGAGTACTGAGTGAATTATGTCCATTTTGATGTGAATGTTGTAGAACAGGGATTTCCAAACTAGCCTGAGATTTAAAGCTGTTATTTCAATAATTCAACAGAACTTTCGCATTCACGGTTCTCTGATGTTGGTCAATGTTCACATGACATGCAGGTAACTGGATAAAATCATTACATTTTGGTTCATTTTGATTGTTTTAATTTTAAGTAGAGTTAATTAATTAATCTATAAAATAATAGATATCTCCATACATTTACAGTTGATTAATCACAGTACATTAAGTCAGATGGTTTGTGTAAAATGTCATGTTTAAAAATGCATATAAAACATTGTCTAATTAAATATGAATACATTTGCATACATTTTCCAGCACATAAATCTGAACATTGGATAAAGCCGGGTTTGATGTTGTTGTCATATTAGGGTTAAATGCTTTTACTGAAGGGATTTTTGATACTGAGAAAATACTGTCAACAACTGGAAAAAAACACACATTTTTATACTTTTTTTTCAGGAATAAAATGTTAAGTAAATACCATGCAAGCGATATATGTAAAAACCCATCAGTAAAATCCTTCAGAATATAGATATGAATAAAACTGTAAGTTTTGGTGTATATAAGTGTTACTGACGTGGAGCAAAACACGTTTAAACACATGTATCGTAACTGAAATCTACAGACGCAAAGTGCAATAAATATTTTCAAAATACGCGTTTATTTAATTGCACTTTTATTTGTAGATTTAATACAAATTCTATATTTATATAAAAAACAACAACAGTGACCATAAGTTTTGAAGAGGTTAATCTATTTTAAAACTTAAAATAAATTATATTTAGGTACACTTGGGTCCATAAAACCAACTATATTTCAAATGCATTCAAAAAATACACAGGATTTGGTGCAAATAGGACATATTGATGCAAGATGAAGTATTGATGCAGAAAACATACATCGCTGATCATATCGTTAAACCAGATCAGGTTATTTTATGTTTAAGATAAAACACACATATAATCTCCCAGCTTTAGCTGTGAACAGCGGAGGAACACTAACACTGGCTTTTGGGCGATAGATAAATAAATATGGTAAAAAAAATCGATTTGTGGCTTTTGAGAATAGAATTTGATTTGACCACATTTTAAAATAAGATTAATCTTACAATCGATTGTTTCCCCCCGCGCTAACGGACACAGGTTTGTGTTAGCGTTACGCTAGCGCTAGTCTGTGCTTTCCCTCCCTCTCTAAGTGACGTTTAAACAACCCCATCGTGAGTCAGAAGGGTTTGCACACGCACGGTTACCCAGAAGCCTCTGCTGCGGCCACGAGGACGCCACACAAACCAAACACACAAATCCAGGACGTTTCTCCTGTGGTCTGAAACCCCGAACACACTTCTAGTAGGAAAACTGGCCAAACTTTCCAAACTCAGCTCACGACAGATGCTCTCTCAACATCGGACACACTAATCTAGAAGATTTCTGATGAATTCTTACATCTCGATATCAGATTTCAGTGCTGATCTTGAGTTTATGCATGAATAAAACTCCTCTAAACATTATTTGTAGCTCCTGCAATCCAATAATCACAATAAGCATCAATACTTTTGATATGAAACAAACTCTCAGCTGTCAAATTCAAACAATAAATGTTTAAACTTTGACATAAAAAAGAGCATCGACTATTCTGACTTATTTTAGTGCCGTCTGTTTTAAGAAACACTGAGCTCTCTTTAATGTGGAGTGAGAATGAAGTAATGAATGAGCAAATGGTTTCTTTATTGATTTTAATTGATTTCATGAGCCAATATGGATGGTTCAATCTCAACAATCTATCTTTTAGTCTGGTGAGTTTTCAGTTAATGCGTGAACGAAGCTTCTCTAAAACTGCTCCAATAATCACATTAATTCTGTGCTTTTAAATTCTGTCAGTTTCATCACTAAGTTCAGTCAATCAATGTGTCCTTCCAAACGTTCACACTCACAGTAAAAAAATAAAAATAAAAACACCACCATAAAAACTTTGCTGGGGTTTTCTTCATTGTGGTAAATTCACCCATTCTCGAACAAAATAAATGTAAAATTGGGACTTTAAATGAGCCATAATGAAACTCCAAGTTCAATTGTTGAAAATGATGTTGAAAATGCACCTGAAAGGGTTAAAGAGCGGAGTCAGACGTGCGGCGACTCCGGCTCCACAAAACTGGTGCTTTTATTTACGGACAATGTAGATGTGTCCAAAAAACTTCAGAAAATAAAGCAAATAGATTTAAATTGAAATTGCTGGTTGAGTAGCTCAATCCATTTACTGATAAACTTATGTGCATGCTTTTCTTTCCTTGTTGGGTAATAAAAATGTGTCTTAATATCCCCAATAACAAATACAAGCATACACAAATGTAATGTCTTTTTCTTCCAAATTATTATTAGGCTGTTTTATTTTTCTGGATTTAATGGTTAAATGTAATCTTAGTTATCACAAAGCATGTTTTAAAATGTTGAAATCATGAAACGTATACAATTTATTACAAGTAAAACAAAACAAATACATTTTATGGCCGCCCGAAATAAAATAAACATTCTTCAATTCCATTTTGTTTTTCCTAAATTCTGTTGTCCTTTTTAATGTCCCATGTTAATTAATTGAATTCATAAAACTTTTTTTGGAGACACTTTTTATTTTAATTATGTATTAGTAAATGTTGGAATTAACCCTTAAAGTGCTAGAACATATTTCACTGAAGAGCACCTATAATAATGTTGTAATAAATGGCTATAACTTGCTTGTTACGTGTAGACAACATTTCATGGCGCACACAAACATAAGTTAGTTAGTAAATGGATTGAGCTACTAAACCTGCTCACACCGAAATATATAATGACCAGCTTAACAGCTTAAAGTCAGTTTGTGTTTCTCCACAGTGATGATCATGTCAGCATCATTACTATCATCTTAGTGTGAACAAAACTGCCATGTGCGTCTAATAAAGATTAACCAGCGACATTAAAACAATCAAACTGACCATTAAAATAGCATTACTGCTCATCTGCAACTAGTTTTCAATTGATGTCCTCAGTTTAACATCCCATCCTAACTGAGTTTCATAACTCCTTCAATCATTCACTACAAAACAACTTTGATCCGCATCAATTTAGCAGTGCAAACATCATTAAAACAGCAGACACTGAAGTATTGAGCCTGCAGATGTTCAACATCTTAAAATATAGCGGTCACTCACGGTGTCACCAAACACGTTACTAGTAAAACTTACGTTACTACGTTACTCTATACGACACAGTGTAATATCTCATAATAGAAGCTATGAATGTGATAAAATGTCGCCAGATGTGTGTGGTGGTGTCGTTGTGGTGATAAAGACTATATGTGTGTTTATTCTGTTGATGTTTCGTAATGTTTAGACTGATTTCTGTTGTATTTTGTACCTTTCCGGACGCTCCGTCTCCCAGAAGCACAATCTTCAGCTGCCGCTCCTGAATCTCCTCCTCAGAGTCCGACATCACTCGACACTTCTTCAACACAAACACACACACAAGATAATAACACAAATAATAATCAGAGACAGATTTAAGAGCAGCGGTTAATCTGATCACGGTGAAGCCGCCGCCATCTTCCCTCAGCGCGAACCAACACACACGATCCTCTCACACTGCACTGACAGAGCAGCTTACACACGACAGATGAGAGTGTGTGCGGTCAACTTCTGGTCATTACACAGATAAACTCACCAGTTATCAGATATCAGTTTAATGCGGGTGGGTTTTACAGTGTTTTACTGTGTTTATTTGGACTGACGCTCACCCGCCGCTGCAGGAATGGACTCGTCCTTCATGACGCTTCCCCGTTGCCATGGAGAGAGAGAGAGAGAGAGACAGCGCGCGCGAGAGAGAGAAAGACGCCAAAACAATATCAATTTCAGTTAAATTATTCTATTTTAATGGATATGGTTTATACAATTAAAATATTAAACTGCAGTTGTAAAGCTGAACTGAATTTTTCAAAGTGAAACATGCAGAAGAATCTGTGATTTGATCTCTCAATTCAATCGACGGATTTATGAACGCATTTGATAAACCTTTAAAATACTTTATGTGAATGTTTTCGGTATAGTTTTGCTTTCGTTTACAGACCTGAAGCGTTAAATCTGTGAATGTTGGAGCTTTTCAGTCATAACGACAACAAAGAGAATTGAAACGTAATTATAATCTTCTGAAAACTAAAGCTTCTTTATTAGCCTAATGGTTTCATGGAGAACCTTATAAACATCCACGGAAACACTAAAGGTTCTCAAAGGTTCTTAAGATTATTAAAATGTTCTTCACACTGGAGAAAAAGCTCTTTTAGGATCTGAAATGTTGTTTGGGAGCCAGACATATTTTTCTATGGATTCACTGTGAAAATAAACACATGTTGAAACCTTTACAATTATTTTATATAAGGTTATAATTAGGTTATATAATAAATAGGTTATATAATTAGGTTATATAATATAATTATGAAAAGGTTCCATTATGGGATCATTTTATGGGTTTAGTTTAATTTGTTTTTTCATTGATTCAATTTTATGAATTAAACAGCTCAGAAACATAAACAAAAATAAATGTAATAACCAGATAAACATGAAAGTATGATGCAATTCTCCTTAAACAGAACCTCCATTAAGTGTTCTTTAAATCCGAGTCGAGAACCCTAGAGTTCTGCGTCACTGAACATTTCACTTCTAGAAAAATGTCCATGTTTTCTTGAACATTTGAGTAAAAGCAGAATGAAAAGTTTCTCTCGATGTTAAAGGTTCTTCGTAAATCAATGTCAATAAACAAGCTTTATTTGAAGAATGCGAAAAATCTCTATTAATGCAAAAACATTTCTGTTGGGTGAATTTAGATTAATTCTATAAAACAGATTTATTTATAGAAAATAGACATGTATAAAGATAAAGAAAGACTAACAGCTTTTGTGCATCTGCTGTATTGCACGTTCTTGGCCTCAGTAAAACACACACACACACACCCTTCCTTTCAGAAATCAAATCTGTATTGTAAGGAAATATAACATTAATAACTGTTAACAGATGAAAAGTATCCTAATTCATATAAAAATCTGATTTAACTGATCAGTCGCGCAGAATGCTAATCCCTGATATAAACTTTCACCAGTATAGTTAAAGTGAAACATAAACGTTAAATGCCACACATTAGTATGATTACATGTTTCCTAGTTTGAGAATGTCTTGACTGCAGATCCTCACCGCAGAGATCAGAGATCATCAGCTTCATCCACTTATGAGTGTGAATTTGGCTAAACCGTGATCTGACGTCAAACACACACACTGTCTGTCCATCACACACACACAGAGTCTCGAAGCGCGTGTCGATCTCTCCGCAGATCTCAAGCTTTATCAGATCAGATCCTCAGAAACAGCAGAATGCTCAGCGTTCAGAAATAGAGCTGCTAAAAGAGGATTTCTGGGAGTTTTCCTAAAGTCACGGAGAGGTTTGAGCTAATGGGGCTCCCGGGATCTCCAGACACATAAATCATAAATCATCAGACAGACTCGCAGAGACTCCGAGATCACGAGCCACGACTGAAGGATCGGAGCAAGACCCGAGGATCAACGAGTCACGGAGCTCAGTTTAGTGTTTATTAATTATATGAACAATATATATATTATATAGCAATAGAATTACAATTCGTAGAACATTGGCAACTATATATTTTATATAATTAATAAAATAAAATATATATATATTTTTTTACATAGGGCCTAAATATGGGACCAACAACAGATTAAGCGTCACACAGATAAGCACAACTGCAAACAGCAGCAAAAACGCTAATAACATTGCGTTTATAAGCACATATGGGCCTACCGTGAGCATAATGTTTCATCCATTAATGGTATTCTCATCATTTTTATTACACATATAAAAACATAAAACAGAGAGAGAGAGAGAGAGAGAGAGAGAGAGAGAGAGAGAGAGAGAGAGAGAGAGAGAGAGAGAGAGAGAGAGAGAGAGAGAGAGAGAGAACTGGAGAATCGCATTTTAGTAGGCTATATCATTTTAAATTATTATTAGGCATGATTTTAATAGCCTACATGAAATTTGGACGATAGATAGATAGATAGATAGATAGATAGATAGATAGATAGATAGATAGATAGATAGATAGATAGATAGATAGATAGATAGATAGATATTTGTACTGTGACTTATACTCATCTGAAATTATATTTAAAAGCAAGGCAAATTAAAAACTAGCTTTCCTTTAGTTTTCTGACACTTAAATATCCCATTTATTGCAGCAAACATCTCAAAAAGTCAAGCGGGAGTGTAATTGGACATGATAATTACACGTGATGGTGTGACATGTTAACTGCGCGAGGCGTGAGGTTAAACACGCGCGAGCACCTGTTAAGCATTTCCACGCGCGAAACATCTGCTTCACATCATCTCTCACTCTCTCTCTCTCACCCACACACACACACACAATCCAGCAGCGAGTGTTTCACGGCCACTTTATCTGTTCTGATGCTCGAGCAGGTACACAGAGATGCAGGATGGACGCCATGAAAGAACGCGCGGGGGGAAAAAAACCCGGGAAGCAAAAGCACATGTGCAGAGAAACTGTAATTCAATTAGGATATTTAAATGAACGTCTCGCAGGTGGACGATTCTGACCCGAGAGACTATAGTATCTGAAATGCCAATTTTCTTTCATTAAACGTGAAACTTGATCTAGAACAACAACTGGCTCATGTCTCTGCGCGGGAAAATGATTGCCCTGATTATGCGCCATTATGTGTGACAGGCGCGCTCTATTAGCGTGTATAAAGAAATTGTCCTTGACGTCCAAAATTTGACCAAAATACACTGGCATTCACGAGATAATAAAAAAGTACTTATGTACCGGGAAATTGCGAGGCAAATCCTGTCAAAATACAGACTAGGAGCGGCTCGTGCCAACATGACAAACACTGAACAAACACGTCACACAACTGAGCAATTCATTACACGAAAATCACACAAAACGTCAAAACTCTTTGAAATAAGTTTCAGTTCGAATTTAGGCTACATTGTGACGTCACAGAAAGGGTTCACAAATAGCTTTTTATTTTCTAATTCTTTATCATCTGATCCGTGGTGTAGCCTATAGCCTACTAAAACATGCAAACAAATACATCGATTAAAAAAACACCAAGAATGGTTTTCTAACCCAAAATCGGACAAGAAGGATGTTTACTGAACCGAATAATCGCTGAACCTTTATGTTGCATGTGTGTGTGTGTGTGTGTGCGTGTGTGTGTGTGCGTGATCGGGTTGGCGTGCCTGCGATCAATTCAATGCCAATAGCATTTTGAGTGGCAAAATGAAGATCATCTGCGAATGATTTCCAGATCAGCCCGTTTATGTCTGAGACTAAAGCTTAAGGCCCTGCTCTCTCTTTCATTCTCTCTCTCTTTGGTCATTACACACATTTCCCGGAAAGTTGAACTGTCGGACTCACTGCACTTATGCCGAAGAATGTAGTGAAGGCTCGTGCTCTTCTTTGGACGCATCACTCTCAGAACAGCAAAAAAATATATGATCAATAAGTAGGTTATAACAACGTGTTATTAAATTGCTTTAACTCATCAAAGTAAGTTGAGCAATTTTCAACTCTTTTAAAATTTATTCAAGATTAACTGAGTTGAATGTAATTTAAGTTGAAATGACTCAAACATCCAGTTGTTGATCCATGCAATAACTTTTTTTTAGTGTCTGAGAATTTACTTCAAAATATGGACCATCAATTCCAAGTGTTCCAATGCACTGCAAATGTTAACCCAAAACAGACAGGCCATATACACCAAGGAAAACCCCATGTTAAGAAATGGCATTGTATTTTTCTTGATATTAACCCTTTATTGGTGGATTCAAAACCCAACAGCAAGGCATTAATGTGGCGATTGTTGTCAAATATTCATCCACTTTCCCAGCACACATCATTAATCTGTCATTTAAACCCAAGAACTTTCCACCTGAAAACTGCCAACAAAGCAAATGGGATGAATCCTTTCTAAAGCTATAATGCGCTCGCTCAGGCCTTGCGACTCAAATAGCAGATTAATCATCTCTTGCGTGTATAGCCTATTTAATTGTTTAGCCCGTCTACAAACGATTTATGAATTTCTGATGTTTACTCCGTTCATTTAATGGTTTTCGGTGTTTCTTCGTGGAGCTCAAAGAGGACTAGAAGACTGACTTCAAAAACAGAAGATCAACAGCGCTGGAAATCTGATGTTTCGCAATCATAATATAAGAGTGTCTGAAACACAGAAACTACACGTGCATTTCAGCTCTTCATACCTGAATCCTCGATCCATCAGAACAGACTGAGAGCTTCCCTTCATCATGTCCATCTGAAACACGATCATCTCCACCTGCTCCTCAACGAGCAGATCGAGAGTCAGGGATGCAGAGACAGTCTCTTTGCCTGAAGAGTGACTGTCTTATTTTTTTCATTTCAACTTGAATGCATTAAAACACCATCTTCTGGGCCTACTTTATGGGATTTTTAACAAGTTATTATAAATTATTATAAATTATAATGGTACTTTTGTCAATTGCATTTGTCTGCATATTCGTATAGAGATCAATCGAATCACTCAATTTAGTAAATAAAAAAGCGCTACCAGATTAATAGATTAAGCGATATGCAGTTTTATTCAAATATAATTCAGACACTTTATTTAAGGTGTCCGTGTTACAGTGAAATTACGCATTCACTATGTAATAATAATAATAAAAAGCATTTACTTATAGGGTTGGGATTGGATAATTTAAAGTTATTATTAATAGGCTAACTGTATGTGACACGCGTGACAGGGACGCTGTAAAATTAAGTTTTACAAAATAGGCCAAGTAGCCTAATATATAATAACCAAAATACTTAACTGAATTATCTGTGTATTATCAGTCTCGAGAGGCCTATTTGTGATCGCAGTCATCGCACGCGCATAAATCAAAGTGTTTGAAACGCGAGACAAAACAACATTAAATCATAGGTCTACTACATTTATTATTATCATTGAACATAGCGGTGATGGTTTTATTGTTGTTATTATTGTTTACACTGATTTATTTATAATCTTAACGCTTTATATTTGTAAAAAAAAATTTAAACGGCTGGGTTCGTCCATTTTTGATCCAAACATTGTCTGAAACAACCCAGCTTTTCCAGAGTGCAATAGACTATAAACACAGGCCTAAACGCGGTTGTGGAGATAAAATATTTATGATGATCTGAAACATCTTTAACACATATAGTTTAGCGGCAGATTTTCCTATAAAATGCAGCAAAAAAACACATAAAAACCCTTGAACGCTGAACGATCCGGTTTTCCCCTAAAACCCTCTAAATGTGGATTTCTCCGTTTTGCGTGAAATGATGACTTGCCTTTGCTGTTTTGTGTCTAATAACATGTTTTAATAAGTCCAGTGGGCTCATGTCACGGCTCATTAATTTCACGCTTTTGAGGATACACAGAAATGACATCTCACAAAATGTGAGAAACACGAATGAAATTATGCTTCATATACGTTTTAATGCTTTTCTTTAAACAAAAACACGTTACACTAATATGAAAACAGGTACATGTCGAACAAACGCTAAAAAAAATCCACGACTCACTTATGAAGACCAACAGATCAATATTTATCTCTGATTTAATTTTTTGGGATTGTTGAGGGGAAGTGCCAGTCTTACCGTTACCTTAAAACCGCACGTGCGGCCACGACATCAAGTGCTGTTTATTTCCAACCAAGAAGAAAGAACATTTTGCTAAAAAAAAACATTGTGAAATAAAATCCTAAGTGTTTTTATAGGAGCAAAACTGATATCAGTCCTTGGAAGAAGAAGAGAAAAAAAACGATGAATAAAAAGGCTGTTTCAGCAGTTCTGTAAATAAATCTCCCGGTCAGTTAACGACTGTCTTTGGTAGAATAAATACGTGAGCGCGTCACTGGTTCCCCGAGCTCAGGCCCCACGCGGGGAGACAGTACGTGTACGGGTAATAGTAGGACGCGAGCAGCGGCGGTCGCAGGAGTTCTCCGGGGCTGTATTGTCTCCGGTCGTCCCGGACCAGCACTTTCACGGCCACTTTCTTCGCCGCGGGCGCCGACGCCAGAAGATCCGCGGCCATCTGACGCCGCTTGGTCTTGTAGCGTCGGTTCTGGAACCAGATCTTGACCTGCGTCTCGGTGAGCTTGAGGGAGGCCGCGAGGTCCGCGCGCTCCGGCCCGGAGAGATAGCGCTGGTGATTGAAGCGCCGCTCGAGCTCGAACACCTGCGCGTGAGAGAACGCGGCGCGAGAACGCTTCTTCCGCTGCTTGGGCTGATCGACGCTCTTCTCCTCCGTCGCGTTACAGTCTGGAGAACAACAATAACACACGACTTCAGTCAAGATGGACGAGACAAACTTTGAAGTTGCCTCGCCAGAAAGTTTTAAGTAGCCTAAAAGATTGAAGGTTTTCAGTTTGTAATCGTTTCAAGTGTGAGTTTAGTAGTTTTAAAAGCTGGTAAGATAGAATAATAGAAAGATTAACACAGAGATGGATCTATAGATAAAGAACTACATGGCAGTTTAAATTAGTCTTTTGAGACTAACTGTCAACATAAAAAAATAAGTGTTTTACCGTTTGAACATTCAGTTTCAAAAGCTTGAAGTTTGAAGGTTTTCAGTTTGTAATAGTTTTAAGTTGTAGTTTTGTAGTTTTAAAAGCTAGCTCGCAAGATAGATAGATAGATAGATAGATAGATAGATCGATAGATAGATAGATAGAAAAATTGCAGTTTACTTTTTAAGTCTTTTGAATCTCTCCAACTGTCAATATTTGAATTTTTGACCGTTGGAGTTTGAGCAGTCTTGGCTCATTTGAACATTCAGACAATGTAAGTCTAGGATTTATAAACGCCATTTTTTAAGGAAAATCACAAGTCGGATCAGTTAGAAAATAAAGCACACCATAAGTCAGATCAGTCTGAATGTCTAGTCTGAGTTTGGTGGATGTAGTATGAAAAGTCTAGAAGTAGCAGCGTTGAGAAACTTTAGTCTAAGAAGAATAATAATAAGCTTGAATAGTATCGTTAGATATTTTTCAAGCCAACTTAATAAAGATCCTAAAGAAGAATTATTTTTGCTTCCACAAAGAACCAATTTTCTTAGAGTAACGAACATATTTAAAATCTAAATAACTTTTTTCACTCTTTAGTGGTTCCATGGGTGATTGCTCCCAATACAGAAGTGTAAAGCAGGGTTCTGCTGGAGCTCAGAGGAACGGTTCTGCACTCACCGGACACGCAGTCGCTCAGGCCTTTGCCGTGTTTTGACTCCTGATCGGTTTCCTCCGCTAAATCTGCGTCTTTCTCAGGCTTTGCGTCGCTTCGCGCTTTGGTGTCGTTGTCCTCGCTCAGCCCGGAGTCCGAGTCGTAGTTCTTACTCTCTCTCTCATCGCTCCGATCCGCTCCGTCCATCTCTTCGAAGATTTTCCAGCACTCGCTTTTCGAGAAACACACATCCAGATCGTTGAGATGCCGAGACTCCTCTTTTCTGTTCAGAATGGCTTGAATGGAGAACGGCATCAGAGAGTTGCTGCGAACAGCCATTTTAAGCAGGAAAAGTCACTGTGGATCTCCAGCTCCGGGGTTACGCGCTCCAGATTGAGCCCCGTGGCGGCAGTTCGGTCGCATCGCGTGAAGGAAGTGTGTGTGTTCGCCACCGCGAGTGTGTGAGTGTGAACACACAGCGCTACTATCCACTTCACCTGCGGAGCACACTGAACCTCAACTCACTCCCATTGGCCAGTCGGGCAACTGGAACGCGTTCGGATTGGCTGTGAGGAACTCGTGCATATTTACAGCGCATTAACCCTTAAAGACCCGAGGAGAGAATTAAAAGATATCAATGACCCTTTAAAATCACACTGACAACTAAATACGAGCTGCGGATGAAAAAAGCAGGTCTGACAAAACGCGACTGAACGCACAGAATTATCATCCAAACACGCGCTTGAATGTTTTTACGGAGCAAACAATTATGGCAGCTCTATAATAATCGTTTTTAGTAATAAACTCGTTAATATTCTCAGGTCACTGGATTTCCATAATATATTGAGCTGTAAGTAACTTCTACTTTCTGTTCGCATTTCATTCATTTATTTATGACTAAAGGCGCTCGTGTGTGCGCTTCTTTTAAAGGTATGGAAATTAATTATTTGTTTTATCTTTATTTTATCATTTCATTGATTAAAACACTTCTCATTTTATGTCTGTATATATTCCACAAAAACAAACGAATTAAAAATTAAAATGAAATATCTCGTCAAACTAATTTCTACTCTTATCTGCGTCATATTTGAGGATGTTTTTTGGCTAAATGAACGAGGCCTAAAAACGGCATAGAACAATATTAATTTAATGAATATGCGTCAGACAGATATTTTCAATTTAGGAGCAACATCATTAGTAATAATAATAATAATAATAATAATAATAATAATAGCCTAATAATAAACCAAACAGAAATAAATAAACAATTTCTTCATATTTGATTTTCTCTTGATTCTTTTTTTGAAGACGCTGTTTTAAGAATTACTTTAAATAATTCAATTATATTTTCTTGTTTTGATATCCTGTCCCTAACATAGCTAATTTAGCCTTTAGGCTATAATGGATATTGTGTGAACGTTCAGGAAAAAAATAAAATAAAATAACCAAACTACTGTTAATGTGTAATTTCAGAAGCTAAATAATGAATAGCTGAAAATTAATACATTTAATAAGCCAATTTATTTAGCGTTGACGGGAAATTATTAGCCGCCGTGTATAATAAAAACGTTAATTTAATGTTAATGATGCCGATTAATAAATCATGTTGCTGGACATTGAGCGTCACGCTGGATTTTCATTGACAACCAAATATAAATGTTTATTTGGCGATCATATTTGAAGACGTTTTTCTTCTATTTCGTCTTCGGGAATTATGTATACATGTAGCCCATGCTATTTTTCTGGCGTGGTTTTACCCAAATGTGTAATAGATTCCTTTGCGTAATTTCACTAAATATTTAATCAACACAAAATACAGAATTACGGCTTACTTTTAACAGCCTAACTAACATAACACGACGATCAGCGTTTACAGATTAACTCAGCATCAGATAGCCTACTGATAACATTTACACACATTTTTATAATAGAAATTCTATTTTCCCCTCGCATAAATGTTTTTAGTTCCGAGAACATGATGTTTATTAATGATTTTAAAATCTTGTAAATATTAGTAAGGTATAGGCTACGTGCACGTCTCTCTCTCCATCTAGCGGCCACGCGCATCACTCACGCGCGTTCCTGTGTCTGATAAAAGTGACATGAATATCTATTTGTCTAAAAGGGAACATGTGTGACTCTGCAGATGCACGCGATCGAGGGATCACCGTGGGCGTGCACGCATTTGGGAACTTGTCAAGCTCGTGAAGTGTAAATTGCGCGTGCATGCAGAGGGATAATGAAAAAATGGACGCAATAAACGTCAAAAAAACATCAACGCGTTCCCGCTGCTTATAGTTGTATTGTTGAGTCTGAATGTGCCTGTGTGTGTGTGTGTGTGATGTAACAGACTCTGACAGCTCAGAAAAGGATGGCGTGACACGCGGATGACAGCAGCTCGTGCGACTACTTTCTTTCTGTGTTAATATCTGGCACATGAAACTCATGTAAAAGCCCATCAATTCCGGATGCGCGTGACCGAGAGAGAGACGGGAGTAAAACATCGGGTCACGCGCACAGCTAAACACTCACCTGCCCTCAGTGTTATTAAAGCAAGGCTTTTCATGATCATCTCACGTATAAAGACCCATAAATACCGTGAAAATCGCCTATAAATGTGTTGTGTGTAAAATACTTTTTCTATTACATAATTATATGTATTTGACTCATTTATACTTATCAAATATTGTAATCAAACGTAATTTGTTTTTTATTTAAACAAAATTTTAAATTAATATCATCTAAATAAAATTATTTATTTTAATAATTTGTATTTATTTTAAATGTTTTTACTTGTGTACTTGTCAAATTTTATTTGAATGAAGTGTGAGTTTATTATTTGTTTATCAATTTGTTCTAATTGATTACTTTTTATTTATATTACGGCTATTTATTTATCTAAACAGAAATGTGTTTCATTGTTTTTAGTATTCAAATTTATTTAGTTCAATCTTATTTTTCTTGATTTATTTTTTACATTTCTACACTGCTTTTCGTATTTATATTAATTTAAATATAATTTATTTATTTAGTTTAGTTTTATAAAACTTCTTTATTTTGGTTGTGTAAATCAAATTATAGATTTAAAATGTTTTATTTATTGTAGCATCAAATTTAAATATATTTAAATCAAAGACATAAGTGTATTATTTGTTCTATTCAATACATTTGTTTTAATCTAATGTATTAAACATTTATTTAAATACAAGTTATTTTATCTTCTTTTTTTCAGTCAAAATGTATTTATTTAGTTTAATCTCTTTAAAAAAAAAGTTATTTTCAGATTTCAGACTTTTCTCTAATGGTTTCCGCGGACCTGTTTGAAAGCAGCACTGTTTATAGGTTGTGTGTGTATTTCAGCTTCAGCTTATAAATAAAGGACTATAGATCGAATCGGCGGAGTCACGTGAGTCTCTCAGCCAATCACACGCGCTTCTGTTTGGATGTGGCGCCGCCGTGTGGAAAACACAGATATGACCGCTGAGCTCGAGTTTACATGAGAATATTGTACATGTATAACGCGACCCCTGCTGGACGACTCATCACAGTGCACGTGTGTGTAATATTCTGTGTTGTAATATAGTGTTGAGTAAGCCTATATAGTGTTATTATATATATATATTATTTATATAGTGTTTTACTGCCAGCAGGATAATATTAATCCCTCTAAAAATTGAATCTCTTCATCTCATACATGTTATAAATTAAATCAGACTAATACCAACTTCAAATGCAAAGTTAATTATACAGTATTAAGTTTTATTTTATGAAAAATGTATCAAAATGAAGCAAGTCTTAAAGTTATTTCTTGTGTTCCTATTGAATTAAGATTATTTTCCTGACTCTGTTGACAGATATTTGTTGTGTAAAATCAGCTGCACATGAAGGCATTCATATTTAACCTCCGATGTCTCTCTCTCACACACACACACACACACACCTGTTTCCTGCTGCACCGGATTAAAGTGTCCAATAATATATCAGAGACAGAATAAACTCTTAGTTCCACCACAGAAATAAATGCCTCTGTGGTCTGTTCTCTCTCTCTCTCCCTCACACACACACACACACACACACACACACACACACACACACACACACACACTGTTTCGTCTGGCCTCGGTCTGTTCAGGTTCCTCTGACCAGAATAATAAACTCAATGTCAAAAACTTTAAACTTTCTGAAGATCATTTTTTGATATACTGATGATGTATGTGTAGATTCTAAAGTTATGATTATGATTTGACTGTAGTGAGTGTGTACTGTTGCTGTTTGAGCGTAAACATCATCTAAGCTGTTAATTAGTTGAAAATCTAACAGAGAGATTTGCTTTTAAAGAGATCGTGTTTTAAGGACTACAACAAACGGCCGGTAGAACTACACGAGCTTCCTCCCGGGTTACACACAAGCTCCTGTAGCTCCGCCCCCTGTGCCGGGAGCAGCAGCTCATTTGCATTTAAAGGGACACACGCAAAAACAGCACAGTTTCTCTCACCCTCAAAAAGTGACAATTTAAACATAATATAATAAATGATCTTCAATAAGTGAAATGGCATATTTTGAGTTCAAACTTCACACACACACACACACACACACACACTCGGGACATCAGAGACTTATTCTACATCTTGTGAAAAGGGCATTATCCCAGCCCTTTAGTAATTAAGGAGTAAAATAAACATCTCACACAAAACAAAATATAAAAAACACACAGATCGGATCTCGGATCAATACTGGAATTTATCATAAAAAGGTAAAAATATAAAATGGAACAATAATGACATTCACAGAATGAGCATCTTTATGGTGACAGAAATATGACACACACACACACACACACACACTCTCTCTGACCTTAAAACTAGAAAAAGCATGAACATGAGGCGATCAGAAGCAGTGTTCGGTTCATCGCTTGGTTTTCTTCGCCGGCGGATCGTCAGGTTTCTGTCCTCGCGTGCGAGAGAGCGAAGGACTGGAGTCACCCCTGCGACCTCTGACCGGCCTGAGAGAGAGAGGGCGAGAGAGGGAGTGAGTGTGTGTCAGAGTGTGTGTGTGTGAGGAGTCTCAGGACAGACACACACCTTGTGTTCGGGGAGTGTTCCTCTTTCCCGCTGAGTTTACTCACAGCTCGAGTCGACGGCTTGCTGGGTTTATTCCTGAAACACACACACACACACACATGAGGAATGATCCACTGATGAGGATCCGGTGTGTGTGAAGAGTGTGTGTGAGGAGTGTGTGTCAGTACTTCTCTGCCTCCAGACGGGACGCTGCTCGGGTCGTGGCTCGTGTTTTGGTCTCCTCTTCGTCGTCCTCCTTCTCTCCGTCTCGTTTCTCTGACGCTCCCGTGTCTGTGGACGGCAGGAACACAATATAAACAAGAGTTTGATATTCCGGGCCTTTACTGATCACAGTTATGATGTCATATCAGGCTCTCGTACCCGACTCATCAGTGGAGGACGCTTTGCAGGGTCGGCCTCGCCGGGCAGGTTTCCTCTGAACACACACACACACACACACACACACGTCAGTCAGTGATTCATACGTCTGATGGTTTAGTGTCAGGAGTGTGTGTTCGCTCACACTCACATCTTCCTCATCTTTCTTCTCCTCGTCTTCATCGCTGGCTTTGATCACGTCCTGATCTTCACACACACTCGCTGAGACACATCAAACACACAACGAGGAACATGAGCAATCAGGCTTCATTCAGTGAGAGTTTCTACACACACACACACACACACACACACACACACACTGACCTTCATCTCTCCTGTGTTTGGCTGATGGTTCTGGTTCTGGTTCTGCTGTGGAACACAGAAGCTCATCCGATGATCTCTTACGCTTCAGTGCAGGTTTCACTGCAGAGAGAGAGAGAGTGTGTGTGTGTGTGTGTGAGAGAGAGAGAAACTGATCATCTACACACAGACAAACAAGTGTGCGAGTGTTAGAGTGTGTGAGAGTGTGAGTGTGTGTGTGAGAGTGTTAGAGTGTGTGTGTGTGAGAGTGTGAGTGTGAGTGTGTGTGTGTGAGAGTGTGTGTGTGTTTCAGACTCTCACCTGAGGGAGCGTCTCTGATCTGAGCTGTGGAGCGTCGACTCCTGCGACCCTGATAATCAAAACACACACACACACACACTTCAGTTCCACCAAAACATCGATCACATGACCTGCAATAAACATTTCATCACAGTCTAAGATTTGGTTGGTCACGACATTTCTCTCTTATTTGGAGAAAAAGTTTGACTTTTCAATTTACCTTCTTAAAGCAACTTTCAGGTTCATTTAATCTTTAAATTAAAGACTTTTGATATTGTTCATTAAAAAACTGAAACAATTAAAAATCATTTTTGTTAAGGCCAGACACTGCAGGTGAACAGGGTAAATATGTAAACTAATATACACCACATACTTCACCAAGTTGCAACATTTTTTTGTTATTAGTTTTATTAAATGTTTAAATATGAATATGCAACATTATCTAATGAAATATGCACTGATTTGCACTAATTCATCTGAACATTGGATAAAGCCAGGCTCATAGTTGGTGTCTGAGTTTGTTGACTCATTAGAGTTGAAGGTTTTTATAGAAGGGATTTTTGATTTCTCTTTTTATCACTCCATAAATCCGAAAATACTGTCAACAGACAGAAAAAACACATGTGTAGAGGAATAAAATGTTATATAAATCAGTGTGAATGATATATGAACAAACCCCTCAGTAAAAACCTTCAGAATATAGATATGAATGAAACTGTGAGTTCTGCTGAAGTGGAGAAACTCTTTTAAAGATATGTGTCCAAACTCAAATCTACAGATGAAAAAAAGATGTTATGGAGGCAAAATAACCCAAAATCTCAAAACTAAACAGTGAATGTAGCGTCTTGGCTTAATTCAAAATAAAGCTGAAATAAAATAAAATAAAATATAAGCATAAAAAAAAAATTTCAACTAAAATGTATATTAGAAATGCCTTTGAAACGAACTGAAATAAGTTGAAGTACTTATAGTTTTCATAGTAAGTAAATATAAATTACAGCTTAATATAAATATCGACCAAAAACTACCAAAAATTAGTAAAAGCACCAAACATGACTAAAACAAACCACATTAAAATAAAAAAAATTAAAAAGCTAATTCAAAATATGGATAAATATGGAATAGTATATAAACAGCAGAGGCTCTGAGATCTATTTTCATCATAAACTAACATAAAATATTCCTCAAAGTAAAATTTTCTGTACAGGTTTGGTGTGATGATGATGATGATGATGATAACTGTGATTCTTCTTTTATATATTCACATAAATACTACATGTACTAATAATTTGATCAGTTGTACAATCTTATTAAAAGCAGAAAGTCTCTGATTTTAATATATTTTTCAAACTGACTATTGTGTGGAAGTCTCGCCGGTCAACAACTCGACAAAAAGACGATAGATATTAAAAAACTTTAAAATTAAAATCATGTGTTTTTTTCTTTAATTCAAAACTGAAGAATATAAACACACCTCTTTTGGCTCCTCCTCCACAGCTGGCTCCGCCTCCTTCAGTTGTAAAGCAGAGCCTTATGGAAAAGAGCAGAGAAACGGTCACATGACGCGGCGCGAGTGCGAAGGACGGCTCAAGGTGTGTGAAGCGCAGACTCTTACGTGTTTCTCTCTGAGGAGCATCAGATGCTCTGGAGGATCTTCCTCTGCGTGGAGTCCGGCTCACTCCAGATCGCTCTTCATCATCCTCATCATCGTCACCATCATCATCATCACACTGTCAGACACATCACACACTTTAATACAAGAACAGAGAGAGTGTGTGTGTGTGTGTGTGTGTGAAGAAATCTCACCTCTTTATTGGACGTTTGCTCTTTTTCATTATCCGCTCTGGTTTGATTTGCTGCAGTCACACAAACAAAGTGTAATTTCAGATTCTACATGTTATTCATTCAGGAAACATGTTTTTTAGACGAGAAAAACGTGTCCCAGGACTCCAGAGCACATCATAAAGAGGTGTTGATTATGATTTCACTGTTCTAACTCTAAGAAATCATTTTTTAAGGACTACAACAAACGGCTGGTAGAACTACACGAGCTTCCTCCCGGGTTAGTGGCATCAACCCTACGATTTACATAAACCCCGCCCCCAGAACACGATTTATAGATTATCATGACAGAATATGCTAATCAAATATCATCACATCCACTTCTGTTCTGGTTCTGACATTGCAGTAAATCGCACTGATTAATAACAATCGCTTATAAGTTATCATATCACGCAAAACTACGTTTTTCAGTTAAATTTGGGGAAACCACTGTGTTGAGCTATTTCAGTTACTTTTGTTTGATTTGAAAGTCTATAAATTGTGCCAATAATGCAACGGGGGTTGAATATCAAATTTTCAAAAAAAATTCCACCGGCAAATAAACTTGGTCCACAATGTGGTTGCAGTCTGGAGCCCAGTGTTATTACTTTACATTAACACACACACACACACACACACACACACACACACCTGCCCTCTGAGCAGATGATCGTCCTCTCCGTGTGCCGCTCTCCGTCTGCTCCACCTGATCAAAGTCATCAGCATTAATGACATGAGCATGATTTCCTGCATAATATCCGCTGATGAGACGATTGTGATTAGTTACCGTCTCAGAGGCGTCTGACGACTTCTGTTCCTGCTCGTCTGAGACCGATGCGCTGCCTGCGTCACACGCACGGGTTACACTGAGATAATCACACACTCATAATCAGAATCACACACTCCTAATCATCACGGCCACTAACCTGTGTCTGTAGAGTCGGTCTGCGCAGGCTCAGCTACTGTCTGCGCAGGTTCAACTGCATCTGTGGTGAGTGTCTGCGCAGGTTCAACTGCATCTGTGGTGAGTGTCTGCGCAGGTTCAACTGCATCTGTGGTGAGTGTCTGCGCAGGTTCAACTGCATCTGTGGTGAGTGTCTGCGCAGGTTCAACTGCATCTGTGGTGAGTGTCTGCGCAGGTTCAACTGTATCTGTGGTGAGCGTCTGCGCAGGTTCAACTGCATCTGTGGTGAGTGTCTGCGCAGGTTCAACTGTATCTGTGGTGAGCGTCTGCGCAGGTTCAACTGTATCTGTGGTGAGTGTCTGCGCAGGTTCAACTGCATCTGTGGTGAGTGTCTGCGCAGGTTCAACTGTATCTGTGGTGAGCGTCTGCGCAGGTTCAACTGTATCTGTGGTGAGTGTCTGCGCAGGTTCAACTGTATCTGTGGTGAGTGTCTGCGCAGGTTCAACTGCATCTGTGGTGAGCGTCTGCGCAGGTTCAACTGTATCTGTGGTGAGCGTCTGCGCAGGTTCAACTGTGTCTACTGTATGAGTCTGCATGGACTCATTTGCATTTGCATCGAGGGTCTGCGCAGGCTCCACTGTAAGCATCTGCGCAGGCTCAGCTGTGTATGCACTGTGGGTCTGTGCGGGCTCAACTGCATTTGCAGTGAATGTCGAAGCAAGTTCTGCTGGTTTTTCTATGAGGGTCGGCAAAGGCTCATCTGTACCGGTCTCCTTTGTGTCTACAGTGAGGGGCTGCGAAGGCTCTGCCACATCTGCAGTGACTGTTGCTGTTGATTCAGCTGCGTCTGCAGTGACTGGTGATTCAGCTGCGTCTGCAGTGTCTGTTGTTGTTGATTCAGCTGCGTCTGCAGTGACTGTTGATTCAGCTGCGTCTGCAGTGACTGTTGCTGTTGATTCAGCTGCGTCTGCAGTGACTGTTGCTGTTGATTCAGCTGCGTCTGCAGTGACTGTTGATTCAGCTGCGTCTGCAGTGATTGTTGCCGCTGATTCAGCTGCGTCTGCAGTATGGGTCTGCGCAGGGGACTCAGCCATGTCTGCACTGAGGGTTTGTACCGTCTCAGGAGTGTCTGTAATGATCATCTGCGTAGGATCGGAAGCATCTTCAGCCAAAGTCTGCACTGACAAGGCTGCATCTGCAGTGGCTGTCTGCATCTGCTTAGCTGCATTTGCAGTGAAGGTTAAATCAGGAGACTCTTTAGTGAGGGTCTGCATTGGCTCAGCTGCATCTGCAGTGAGCGTCTCTGTGGACTCGGTTGTGTCTGCAGTGAGGGTCTGCATTGGTTCAATATCATCCGTCTGCATTGACTCAGCTGCGTCTCCAGTGAGGGTCTGCGTTGGCTCAGCTGCGTCTCCAGTGAGGGTCTGCGTTGGCTCAGCTGCGTCTCCAGTGAGCGTCTGCGTTAGATCAGCTGCATCTGTAGTGAGGGTCTGCGTTGGCTCAGCTGCGTCTGCAGTGAGGGTCTGCGTTAGATCAGCTGCATCTGCAGTGAGGGTCTGCGTTGGCTCAGCTGCGTCTGCAGTGAGGGTCTGCGTTAGATCAGCTGCATCTGTAGTGAGGGTCTGCGTTGGCTCAGCTGCGTCTGCAGTGAGGGTCTGCGTTAGATCAGCTGCATCTGTAGTGAGGGTCTGCGTTGGCTCAGCTGCGTCTGCAGTGAGGGTCTGCGTTAGATCAGCTGCATCTGCAGTGAGGGTCTGTGTTGGCTCAGCTGCGTCTGCAGTGAGGGTCTGCGTTGGATCAGCTGCATCTGCAGTGAGGGTCTGCGTTGGCTCAGCTGCGTCTGTAGAGAGCGTCTGTGTTGGCTCAGCTGCATCTGCAGTGAGGGTCTGCGTTGGCTCAGCTGCGTCTGCAGTGAGGGTCTGCGTTGGCTCAGCTGCGTCTGCAGTGAGCGTCTGCGTGGACTCATTAACATCTGCAGTGAGGGTCTGCGTTGGCTCAGCTGCGTCTGCAGTGAGCGTCTGCGTGGACTCATTAACATCTGCAGTGAGCGTCTGCGTGGACTCATTAACATCTGCAGTGGGCGTCTGCGTTGGCTCAGCTGTGTCTGCTCTAAGTATTTGTGAGTGTCTTTCTTTGTCCTTTTCATCTGTCTGCTGATCCCCCACCTGAAAGAAAAGCACCAACACATTACAGGAGATACACAAACACTCTAGCATTCAGAAAAACCCACAGGATGAATCTGATAAATTAGGCCTGTTTTACATGCCAAACGACTCCTCAAAGCAGAAGAGAGCAGACCACCTTAGCACTTTTCAACCTCAAACTGACTCCTGACACAACACGCACTGCTCTGCAGGTCACCTTGTGTGTAACCTAGGCTCACTCTCTCCGACTCGCCCATCCTCTATGGTTTCAACCTCACTTCCTCCACCCGCTCAGTTTCAACACTAGACACTAACAGTGCTACAGACACTCTCACTACATGTCATCACTAGGATCTGTCATTCAGAAACATGGTTTATCCCATCACTGTTCTCATCTAGCTACTGGAGTGCCTCAGGGCTCAGTGCTGGGACCGCTTCTCTTCTCCATCTACATGACATCTGGATAAAAGCGTTCAACATGAAGAATGGTTTCATGAACAAACAACCCAATATATGTATAAGTGAAGCAAAACCTCATGATTGTTCTAAGCTAATAAGCGATAAAGCAGCAGAGTTCTGTGAAGTTAAGCCAAACAATCTGAGACTGTAGAGGATATGATGTCATGAGCTCACCTCTGATGTCACTTCCTGCAGAGGCTCCGTCTCCATGGGCTCCACAGATGCAGCTAGAAGATGAAATCAGTTATCATGAGGCTTTATTAATTCACAAGCATATGATGATGCACAAGTTTGTGTGTTAGAGTGTGTGATATTGACAAAAAAAAAAACGAGAGCTAGATATTTTGCAAAGTGCATATTTACCTTCATCCTTCCCTCGGGTCATTTCGACCTGAAATCATTTTTTTTTTTTTTTTTTACCCTAGAACATCTGTCACACTTGAATCACGGATTCGAGGAGTTTTGAGGTTGAAATTGTAATATGAGAGCAAAATAAAAATAAAATAAGCTTTCTGGACAAAAGAAATAATAAATTAGGCCAACTATAATTTTAAGGCTTCGGGTCATTTTGACCCGCGAGGGAAAGATGTGTTAAAAAGTGCGAGGGAAGGATGAAGGTTAATGTTAACAATCTATTATGGTAATCGATACTCTACCTGCATCCTGGGCCTCGTTCACCGCGTAACACGACACACTTCCAGCGCCTGTTGTCCCGTCGCCCGGAGACTGCGACACGAGACTCGAGGAGCGCGCGAGATCGGGGTCCATGGAGAGCAGCGTCAGCGCCGCCTCCTTCATCTTCAGATCCGCTTCGGTCTCCCGGCGCTCCGAGGCGGAGGAGCACACGTCCATCAGGCTCAGGAGGGCGTCGGCTTCGGCGCTCAGGGGGCGGGGCTCTGCGACGGACACGCCCTCGTCCTCGGATTCGGGAGTGACGTCGCTCAGCGCACCGTACGGGTCGTTCGAGTGAACCGTGGTGCTGGACACGGACTCGGGATCTCCTCCGGCGCTCGATATCCTCTCGGGATCCTTCGGGAGCTTCTTCTCGGTTGTTTTCTTCGCTAACTTCGCTTTCTCCTCTGAGGTTTTCCTTTCCTCTTTTCCCGTTTTAGTCTTGGCTTCGGGTTTTTTATCCGATTTTCCTGCACTACTCTGGGATTTAGTCCTGTGTTTCTCCGATAAGGATCTGACCTTTGACCCCGCCTCCACCTTTCGGACGTCGCTCTCGTTTTCCGCGACTGATTTCTGCGAATGATTCTTGTCCGACGACGAATCCTTCCTCACCTTGAGCTTCTCTCCCGGTTTACCCTCCGGATGACTCTTTGACCTCTTCAGGACCTCTTTAGGGTGCTTGTCTTTCTTCCGGCTGACCTCTGACCCCGCCTCGACCTCTGACCTCTCCTCTGAGGAGCCGGTGGAGTCCAGACGCCGGAGACTCTTGCCGCTCACCTTGGCTTTCTCCTTCTCGCTCTTTCCTTTCTTCAGGTTCTCCTCATCCGCAGCTTCCGCCACAAGCGTCTTGACCTCTCGGGATGAGACGGAACTCTTCCGCTCTGGCTTGACCTTTGACCCCTTCTTCTCCTCAGCTGCTCCTTTCGCGTTTCCTCCATCTTTCTCGTCTCCGTCTCCGGTCTTTCGGAGTTTGTGCTTGAGTCGTTCATCAGGGCGCTCTTTTTCCTTCTCTTTATCCTTGCGCTCCTTTTCTTTCCGAACGGTTCTCCCAGCCGTCCTCTGGCGTTCCTCGGTGCCCAGCTCCAGGTCCAAGATGAAGGAGTGAACGCGGTTCTTCTCAGGCAGCTTCTCCTCGCCGTCTGCTTTCTTCTTGCGCTGCTCTTCCAGATCGGACAGTCGCCGCACTGACTTCAGACTCACCGCCTTCGCCTGAGGAGAAACACAGATGCTACGACTGATCAGGGTTCAACTTCACACAAATTCAAGGACTTTACAGGGTACAAGCTTCAGATTAAAGGGTACAAGCAAGGTTACATCGTGTTACCTTGTAAGATACATTGTAACAGTTTTCATGTTTTAATAAAGATGGAATTCTTTCCAGAAAACTTCTTGAACAACATAAATTCAAGAACTTTCAAGTCCTGTATATGTGCGTTTATCTTCAAAAACTTTTCAGGGCCTTGCAATATTTTTTCCAGATTCACAAACTTAAGGATTTCAAGGACCCATGGGAAGCCAGACTGAGAGAAAAAGCTGGAGAACGAGAGAAACTTACATCTTTGCTGACTGAATCCCCCTCAGTGTCACTTTTCTTCCTGTCGTCCTCTTTCCTAAAAGACAGAGTCGAGATTTAAGCAGCGCTTTGATTTAACAAATTGTTTCACAGCAGCTTTACAGTGATGACAGGAGATTACAGTCACAGAGAGTGTTTAGGCTTTACAGCAGATCTAGAATAGAGTTATTGTCCAGATAAAGTTAGTTTTAATTGATTCACTTCCGTTATAAAGATCATTAGTTATTGTTAACACGTATATACGTATATCATTAGTAACTAACACGAAACCGCTCTGACAGAAAACCCTTAAAGGGATACTCCACTTTTTTTGGAAATAGGCTCATTTTACCACTCCCCCAGAGTTAAACAGTCGAGTTTTACCGTTTTCGAATGTATTCAGCTGATTTTTTTGATAATTAGAAGAATATCAATAACCGGACAGTTTCTGGTCTCATTGACTTCCATAGTAGGAAAAAAATATACTATGGAAGTCAATGAGACCAGAAACTGTCTGGTTACTGATATTCTTCTAAATATCAGAAAATCGGCTGAATGGATTCGAAAACGGTAAAACTCAACGGTTTAACTCTGGGGGAGTGGTAAAATGAGCCTATTTCCAAAAAAAGTGGAGTATCCCTTTAAGGGCTCATTCACATTACAGTGTTTGCAGCTCGAGAACACACACCTCGAAACAGGTGCAAGCGCTGACAATTATTTAAAAACACTATCATCTCCCCGTAAACTTTAAAAACGCAAATCTTGCAAAGAGTCAAGAACTACATTTACATGCACCCTCATAATGCGAGATTTGGGCAATATTGCGATTAAACTAGACCTCACGTAAACAATACTTCGATCAAATTGACTGAAAGTGCAATTCCTCGGAAGTTCTCCCATACAATCCTGAGGAACATGAGGCATTGGGGTTATCTGAGTTACTATGGAAGCATATTTTTACTACAAAGGGGAAAAAACGTATGACAATTCAAAATGACGAAATACTAAGAAAATACAATTTTTCATTGAATTTTGAATATTTTAATTATGAGAGACAAAATTATGACAATTCCTCCAAAAAAGGAAATTCTCCGATATTTTTTTTACCACATAGAAAACACAATTATGACATTAAATTCAAAATAACACACTACGTCAAAATTATGAGGTGAAAATTCAAAGAGTCAAAATTATGACAGTCAATTACAACTTTTTTTGTGTTTATATTTTAAATAGTTAATTAATTAATAAGTTCCTTAATTTAATCAAGACAAAGAGAGTCTTATTTTAGCATCAATTGAGAATTCAGAATATTCATAACCGTCTTGTGAAGTTGGAAAGCAATAGTATAATGATAATAATTGTGTTGTTGGCGAGTCGCACAGACCTGGAGTCCCTCTTCCTCTGGATGCTCAGAGCCACCTTCTTCTCCAGGACCTTCTTCTCCTTACGAGCCTCTTTGGCCCGCGGCCTCTGATCCGCCAGTCTCTTACGGTCTGAGGGAGAACAACAGGTCAGAGGTCAGAGGTCAGGGCTGTGTTTCCCGACAGCAGCGTCAGCCAAATATGATCGCGAGTTCTGTCGTTTCCCTAAACCATCGTTCTAACGAACATTCACATGTGTTTGAGCGATAGATCTAGACATGTGGACTCAATAATCCTGATCTTGAGCAAAATAATCAAGCTGACCTTCAGTATAATCGGTGTCTTTAATTAGAATACATTCAAATGTCATTTACGAGTTTGAGTTTGTCAAGAGAAAGCGTTGTGTTTGAAGAGTGCGTGTGTGTGAACGAGCTCGAGTGTGTCAGAACGAGACGAGTGAATCTAATAAAGCGAAATAACTGAGAAAATGAGAATTATTCCTCAGATGCAGGTCCGTAATTTATAGCAAAACATCTCGCATTCGTTCGATCTCACACAGGTTCATTAACACTAGTGATTACTTTCGGGAAACAGTCGAGAGTCGAGACTATCGTTGACTTCTTCACCAGTGCTTCTCTTCTCTGATAGAGAAGCAGCGAGTTACACCGTTATAAGGGAAACAGACCCCAGATCATTAATACACACACACACACACACACACACGTACCCTGCTCCTCGTTCTGCGCTGCTCTCAGCCTGCGCTTCTCCTCCATCCGCTCTCGGTTCTGCTGCCGCTTCAGGAGACGCTCCTCCTTTTCTTTGGCCTGTGGAGTCAGAGACACTTCAGAGTTTGGGATTTTGACAAAGAGCAGATGAAAACTGTGCATTATGATAATTTAAACTTTTAAGTAAAACAATTTTGTTGATAAAAACTTTTAAAAATATCAAGATATTAAAGCACTAATAACGTTCATTGAGGAAGAAAATCTACTGTTTGTAATTACCAAATCCTGGTCAATAACGTTGAGCTGTGAGCGAAAGCCGAAGCCAGTTAATAACTGTCCTAACGAGGTAATATAATAATCATATATGCATGAGATTCTCCTAATATAACACACCTCTGCACATAATAACAACTGCACAAGAGATATAAAGCATAAAAGAATTCACCATATTGGGTCCCACTTTATATAAAGTGGCTTTAAGTACTATGTAATTACATTGAACAATAAGTACAACGTATTATTGTGTTCCTGTTGTATTGTAAAACACTTTTGCTGCTATTGAGGTGTGATACGGGTAAGGTTAGGGACAGGTGTGGTGGTGTGGGTCGGTTTAAGGGTAGGTTAAGGTGTGAGGGGAGGGTCAACTGTGTAATTACAAGTGTAATTACATAAATTAATTATAGCTGGAATTACATGCTGGAATTTTTAAAAATGTAAGTACAATGTAAAAACATGTATGTACACAATAAGTCCATTCTATCAAATTATTAATTTCAATGTAATTACATAGTATTTAAAGCCACTTAATATAAAGTGGGACCCAATTTTGTTTATGACATCATTACTTCAGGAGATGAGATCTTACCATGCTTTTGTTCAATGTTGATATACGACTCACTGTTTTAATTTAACTTTTGCACTAAACTATTAATCTCAGTGACTTAATTTATATGCAGTTTTATTCACAGTAAAATTTAGTCAAATGAATGAACATGACATGATGAAATGTTGACAAAATGTTTTTTTTTTTATCAAAAGATCCAAACAATGACTAAAATTACACAACTAAAATATAAACGTACTCTGTGTTTGTATAATAAAAATTAGGCTGAATGATGTATAAAGAAATCCCTCAGGAAAAACCTTCAGAATGTAGATAGGAATAAACCTGTAAGTTTTGGTGTGTGTAAGCGTTACTGAAGTTGAGAAAAACTCTTTAAAGGTGTGCACTGTAGTTGAAATCTACAGACACAAACAGATAAAGTGCACTAAAGTAAACACTTAAATGTGTATTTTGGATGTTTTCTTTTGACCAGTGCATGAAACAACACTGGATAACCAACAAGCGCCAATGTTACATTTCTATATATTCTCATCATTTGTTAACATGTATTCATTACTTTAATGAGCTCAATGTTTCCATCTTAAAGGGATACTCCACTATTTTTGGAAATAGGCTCATTTTACAGCTCCCCCAGAGTTAAACAGTTCAGTTTTACTGTTTTTGAATCCCTTCAAAAGAATATCAGTATCCAGACAGTTTCAGTTGTAAAATGAGCCCATTTCTAAAAAAAAAGTGGAGTATCCCTTTAAATGAACACATTGTTAGCTAACTTTTGGTGCCTGTGTTAGCCTCTGGGTTTGGTGAGTGTGTTAGGCTGGAGTGTGTTCTTCTCCTCACCACAGAGCGCCGGCGCTGCTCCACCGTCACCTCGTCGTCAGAGTCGCTGTAATAGCGCGAGTACAGGAAGGGCTTGTGTACGTATCCCTGTCTCACCCCGCGCGGCTTCTTCTCCCTGCCCTCCGAGTCCTCACCCGTCTTCTGCCCCGCCTCGTCTGCACACGCACACACACACACAAAAAAAAGCACATTCTTTCCATATGTTGTTGTTGTGAGTCGCGATAGAGTGAACAGAACTAGAGCTTAGATCGGCCCAAACTAAATCAAGCCGACCCGACGCATTAACCGTGATCATGAGCCACACACACACACACACTCACCCTCAGAGCTGATCTCTCCCTCCTCAGTGGACTCGCACAGAGGCTCGTCTTCTTCGCTGTCGATGAACGAGGACAGGTCGCTGGTGTGAACCGAACTCACGCTGATGTCACTGAGACCCTCCAGATCCGAGTCCTCCAGCGAGTACTCTAGCCAAACACACACACACACACACACACACACTGCAGGTGAGAAGCTGGAAACTTTAGCAGTTTTGCTCATTGTTCTGTGCTGTAAAGCCGTGTCGTTGCCGTACCTTCTCTGAGCCGCTCTCTGGTCTTCTGTTTCACACTGCAGGGTTTCAGCGGCTCCGGCTCACGGATCTCCTCTCTCGGCTTCCCGGAGGATTTACCGCTCTCCTCCTACAAGACAAGACAAGTCCCTCATTATACAGCACTTTAACTCTATAGAGTTCACAGCAGATTCACAGAGATTACAGGAGATGATTATATTTGGGCTTCACAGCGGATCTAGAATAGAGTTATTGTCCAGATAAAGTTAGTTTTGATTGATTCACTTCCGTTGTGAAGATCATTAGTGATTAACTAACACGACACCGCTCTACTGAACACCCTTAACACACTCCGACTGGTTCACACAACAGTGTTTGCAGCTCGAGAACACACACCTTGAAAGACGTGCAAGCGCTGAATTATTTTTGAATTTTTTTTATATATCTACACAAACTTCAAAAACACGAGTGTGTGAGAACGCTGGCGGCGTGCACATGCGCTTTACGGGTTTAGTCTACAGGTATACGCATTTGAATATATATATATATATATATATATATATATATATATATGTTTGTTTGTTTTATTTAGAGTTTGACAAGGCAGAATATTGCTGTGATTGACGAGGTGCAGTGGTTGAATAATAAATAAAGTTATCATCTCCACACAAACTTCAAACGGTGAATATGTGAGAACGTGAGTATGTGGACCTCCTCCTCCTCCTCCTCCTCACCTGTTCTTCTGCTTCTCCTCCCTCTCTCCCAGACTCCTCCTCCTTCACCTCTTCGCTCTCCTCCTCCTCTTCCTCAGGGAGGCTGATGTCCATCATCTCGTTCTCTGGGGGGTCGTGGGTCGGGTCTGAAACGCTGGTCTGGATCTGATCATCAGCGCTGGAACTCGCAGCTGGAGGACAACAACAACAACAACAACAACAACACCAACACAGGTCAGAGATCGAGAACATCTGCTGTATTACTCACTCCTTTACTACACGACTCTGTGGAACGCTTGATTGGTCAATAGCGCCATCCAGTGGACGATTACTCCCGATAACAGCCTCTGAGAACAGAAGCACAGACTCTTCCGGGTCGCTAATAAAATATTAAAACTCAGTCGATTCAATATTTTGTGTACCGTTATTTAATTATGCGTAGACTTGCTATTATTACTTGTACATGTAGGAAGCGGGATAATGTCCATCCAGCCAGAATAAACCCCCTTCAGATGTGTGTGTGTGTGTGTGTGTGTGTGATCTCAGGCTGATGAAGTCCTGTTCCTGATCACCCTGTCAGGTTTATTCTGATATAACAGCCGGCTGGATGTACATTTTCACTTATTTAACTCGGGAATCTGAGACTAGAATGTATTCTACAAGACAGAAACGCTCAGGGAAAACACTGTTTTTTGCACTGATATTATAATAATAATAATAATAATAGTAATATGTGAGACGCCGACCCGCATCATTTCCCTCATCTGCGGTCAGCAGTTCCTGGTTCTCCACAGGAAGGGGCGGAGCTACAGCAGGAAGTTCGTCCTCCTCCACGTGGCTGTTGGGAGACAGAAACCTCCGGACGATTCGCTCGACCTGCGGACGAAACGTGTGATGGACCTTCGGATCCACGACCTGAGCCACGATACGGTCCACTCCCTGCTCCAGCATACCTGACCTGTCACACACACACACACAGGAGGAGGACGTGAGCGAGAGAGAGAGAGACAGGAGCACAGACAAATGAACTGACAGACAAACAAACAAACAAATGGACAGACAAACGAACAGACAGACAGACAAAAGGACAGACAGACATACAGACAAAAAAAAAGAATGGACAGACAAATGTACGGACAGACAGACATAAGGACAGACAAAAGAACAAATAAATGAACAGACAGACAAAAGGACAGACAGATCAACGGACAAATAGACAGACAGACAAACAAATATTCAAACAAATCCACAAACAGACAAAAGAACAAACAAACGAATGGACAAATAGACAAAGAGACAAACAAATGTAGACAGACAGACAAACAAACAGACAGATGACCAGACAGACAAAAAAAACAGACAGAAAAATGAATGGACAGATGGACAGACAGACAGACGAACAGAGAGACAGACAAACAAACAAACAGGCAATACAACAGACAGAGAGACAAACAAACATACCTACAAAGGAATGGACAGACAGACAGTCAGACAGATGAATGTACAGACAGACAAATAAAAGTACAGACAGAGGACCACAGACAAACGGACAGACAGACAAACAAACGGACAAACAGACAAAAAAGACAAAAAGGACAGACAGGCAGACGAACGGACAGACAGACAGAAGAACATACAAATAAAGTGACAGACAGACGAACAAAAGTAAAGTTAAAAAAAAATGGACAGACAGAAAAATTAAAGGATGAACAGACAATAGGACAGACAGACAAAAAAAAAAAACCCAAATAGACAGACTAAAAAAAAGACCCGAATGGAATGACAAAAATTAATGGACGACCAGATGATAGGAGAGACAGACAGAAAGTCAGACAAACAAACAGACAGAGAAACTGACAAACTAATAGACAAACTAATAGACACACACACACACACACACACACACACACACGTACTGCAGGACCAGTTGTCTGATGCTGTTCCTCAGCTGGTTCTTGTTGAGCTGTGGACTCCAGGTGTGATTGGCCAGATGATTGGACACGAAGTTATCGACTCGCTGTCGCAAGTGCAGATACGCCGGCTGAGAGACAACAACACAGAGTAAAATATTACATTATTATTAAACATCACAGAGTAAACTATAATCTTCTTTATCCAGAATAACTGTACAAACATCGTCTTTCTGCTGTCAAATATGACCTGAGTTTATGAAGGACACGTGATAATAACTTTGATATTGTTAGCAATATTTCAGCAGGTTTACTAGATCATCCAGACATTATCATGAGTGTCAAAGATGATCATCAGGCTTCTGAGGAAGATTTATTTGTCCATCTGTCAATCATCTATTGCATTATATGATTTAAAACTACAGAGCTTTGATCATCAAACTGAGCTTTTAAATATCATCATACTAAGACATATTATTGACAGATATTGATATTATTGATCAATGTTGATATTGATTCAACACCATGAGCTGCTAAACTGACAGTCCGTTTATGAATTAAAAACTGAGCGGTTTATCACAGGACTCTCGTGATCGATGATCAACAAATACATGAGCAGTTCTGCCGGACAACAACACCAGAGACTGGGATCTTCCGATGATGCCACGCTATGCCTGAGGTAAACTCGTGTAGAAGTGTGTGTTGTGGAGTAAGTGTGTGTGTGTGTGTGTGTGTGTGTGTGTGTGTGTTTTGCCTTTGTGTCCACATCCGCCAGACAGTCTCTGCGGAACTGATCGAACAGGCCCTCCGTCTTCAGGTGACTGACGATCATCGACACCAGCTGCGGGTCTCCGGGGTGAAGAGCCGCCATCGCCACACACTCGGAACCGAAGCCGGCAGAACTCGGTCCAGCACAACCTCCGAAAACAGCAGAACCAGCAGTGCGCTACTGAGGGAACGACGACCCGGAAGTTTACACCGCACACAGGAAACAGGAGAAGAAGACAGAGCAAAACAAGCGCGGACCTTCAGCGCCACCTAGAGGACACACATTTACAGCAGCGGAGTAAAAAAACGAAAATAAAAATATTAAATTAAAATAAACTGATTCAAATATTTTATTTAAATAATAGTCAATAAAACATGTTTTTTAAAAATGAGTAAATACGTTTATTTAAATATATAATGCATTAATTAATTAGATTAAAATAATACATTATTAAAATAAAATTTGGTTTGAATATGTAAAATTAAAGAATAATAAAACTAAATAACAAAAACGCGATTCAAATGAATGAATTAATTAATTGATAAAAATGTTATTTAATAAATAATAATGAATAAAGATATTTGATTTAAATAATTGTATTAAAATGTGTTTTTTTTTCAATAAAAAACATTTGATTATAATGAATTAAAATTATTAAAATTAATAGATATGTTGATTAGAATATGCCATGAATTAATACATTTTAAATAAAAATGTATTAAAATATATAAAGTAAAACACTAAACTAAATAACTAAAACGCGATTTAAATAAAAAGAATACATTTATAAATTTCATTAAAAGGACTATTTAAATAAAAATAAATCAAACATTTGATAAAAATGAACAAAACAAAACATTTATTTAAATAAATAAATATAACTGATTAAAATAGATATTGATTTGAATATCTCAAAATAAATAACTTTGATCAAACTAAATATCATCATCATCATCACATCTTTATTAAGGACATACATATAAAATGGTCCATAGCACTATACAAAATAAAGTACATTCAAAAAAAAAATGTATAAAATGACTACACAGTCAATATTCCACAATACACAAAATAAGTGTTCAAGGCATGTGAACTAAAGCGCCAGTGATTCCACAAACCCGAAGTGAACCTAACAGCACTCAATGCAGGATTCACTAGTGTTTTGATGATGCTGTGACTCTGCTAGTCTATATTCAACATCTGTATATGAGATTCCTGAGTACAGCAGGGCACGTGGATACATTAACACTTACACACATTTGACTCGCACTGCCCCCTCGTGGCAATCTAAGCAGCAGACTCAAACCATCATTATATGCCACCTTGAGTTTCTGCATACTACTTTTTTATAGCGCCGCCACAAGTGGGCAGTGTACATCGGAGGACAAAAACCTTTAAAAAGTGTCGTCTTCACAAAAAGTGAACACATACTAAATTTCAGCATATTAGCTTGTGCATACAACTTACAGTACTGTCTATGAATGTCCCTCATCAGACAGGTCATCAGGTTCTACTTGCAAATTTCAAATGCTCCGCAGATATCTCATCCATACCGCATGCCTTATTATCCTTTAGCATCATAATTGCATCATACATTTCTTGAGGTAAAACAGTTACATCTTCATTACTATCAATGTCACCCATCGTAAACAACCTACTTTTAACACAGTTAAACAGCTCATTGTAATGTTTCTGCCACAACTAAGTAATTTAATTTCTTCAGAGCATCAATATTCGTTGGTAACGATGTTTTACAATTATGCATTCTCTTGATTATATCAGATAAATAAATATAAATATATTTAGATAAATAAATACAAGTTTATTTAAAAAAAATAAGAAAAGGAGTGTAAAAGTGCAAAAACACATGGTAGGCTATTTTTATGAATATGATATCTTTAGACACTCGTAATGCAGTGTAACCATAGACTGTAAAAATGTATTTATAAATGTGTTAATTATTAAAACAAAAGTATACGCATTTAAAAAACAACGTTTTATTTATTGTTATTTCAATGAAATCTTATCAGTGAAAAAGGAATGGCAGCGGTGGGATTCGAACCCACGCCCCCGAAGAGACTGGAGCCTTAATCCAGCGCCTTAGACCGCTCGGCCACGCTACCGGTGATGCGGCACTCGACCCTGACCCTCTTTGATCCAGGAGGTACAAAGGTACACTCAAGAAAGAAAACTACATGGTATCTGAGGACTATTTCTAATTTTTCTCTATTATTTTGCTTTATTTCCAGACTCAATCATAAGCTTGTCTTCAAAAACGTTGCTTTAAAACTCTTGACACAACTAAAATGACATTAGTATGTAACTGATCTCTAAATAAAAGACTTCAGATTGCACTGAATGTCAGCTTGCTTATTTTGGTCCAGAAAATGATTTATTGAGTCCACATGTCATGCAAACTAGAAAATATGCTTCCACAGCTCGAGATCTGTCGTTCGACTCGTTCCCGAACACACACCTCTGCGATGCTGTTGATGGTTTCGGGAAACACACTGACTCGTTGAGCTGATATCAAAAGAACTTGCTAACGATGCTTTCGGGAAACATCGACTGCAGAATAAGTTTACGTATTAGATCTAGCTCTATAAAAAGACCCTACAAAGCGTTTCTCCGCCCAAATCATCCTCATACTCTCAAAAACATTCATAGGTTGTGACACAAACTATTAAATCTAATTATCAAACTAGTCAAATCAATTCTCAGACTGCTGGCATTTGAAGACAGATTCTACTTTTACTGACACTGCAGACATGTAAGTAGCCTAAATTTTTCATCGATTTATTCACCATTAAGATAGCATTTAATGTAACAGTTTTTAAAAAAATGAAAGGAAAGCAACAAAACCTCATGTTTGCGATTGTTTGTTTTCGTTTCCATTACAGATTTGCACAAAACTGTTACGATTGTTATCCGGACCCCATGATGGCCTACCCCTAACCCCGCCCCTAAACCTACCCGTCACTGGGGTTAAGACCAATCAGGGACGATGGCCTACCCCTAACCCCGCCCCTAAACCTACCCGTCACTGGGGTTAAGACCAATCAGGGACGATGGCCTACCCCTAACCCTGCAGCATTTGCCTCTGTCTGCCCCACTTCCACATTGGTAAAGCAGGTGTCTCCAGAAGTATCTTTACTAAAGCTACTGAATTAATGAAAGAAGATGAGAAGGTTGGGACGAGCATTCAGGAGCAACTGCGGGATCTGAAGGACGAGTGTGGAGGAGCACCAAATGCTGATGAGCTGGACTGTGAGGTCACCACTCGACTCATGTGGGCTCTGGCCAGAAGGAGAGATACTCCCGTATCCCTAGACTTCCTCAGAGATTTCAACAAGGCCACGTTCTTTCGTCACATGACACCAGGTGGACTGGCTCCAGCCGAGGCCTCGGACTTTATTTGCCAAGCTCTGGGACTCGATCGTTCCCCTGAGATCACGAGTAGCCTGAAGGTGTCGGCCAAAGAAATGATGGAGAACATTGGACGCATTGGCACTAAAGCTGCTAAAGAAGGATCAGGGGTATCAGCTTTCCTTCCTCAATCATCCCATCTTCAGAAAACTGCGACTTTGAAATTCTCTTGAAGTGTCTATTCAAGAGAACAATATGAAATATTCACTGCATTGCCCTAATAAAGTATGTTAGGGATATCTTGTTTATCTTGGGATTGTTAAAGGGCACCTCTTGTGCACCTTTTTACAAGATGTGTCCCCAGAATCTATTTGTGAAGTTTCAGCATAAAATACCCCAGAGTTCATTTATTATAACCATTTGAAAATGTAATTTTTGTGTGTTTTGGAGTGTACCACCTTAAATGTAAATGAGCTGCACATCCCCGCCCTGCCTTTGGATGAGGGCGTCACTTGCATATCTATGGCAATAAACAGTCGATGGAAGCAGAATGGCTGAGAGTGAGAGAGCCGCTGTTGTGTATGGCATTATATGCAGAGATGGGCAGTATTTGAATTACAAAATACTCAAAAGTACATTAAATAAGCATTTCAATACATGTAATTTGTCATTTGTAATTAAATACTTTGAGGGACTGTAATTTGTATTTGAAACAGGGCTGGGCGAGATATCGCATGATATTGTTATGCGCATCTCTTCAGTAAAGCCGGTTCCTTGATTAACCTGATCAACCCCAGCTGGGTCGCCTGGGGGAGAGTGTATGAAGCTTAAAAGACCCGAAACACTCTGTGATCCCAGGTAACATCACTGATGATGTGTCCAGGTTGCATCAAGTTGATGTATGTTACAAGTAGGCACAAAGAACACGAGCAGAACAGAGCAGTTTCCGTTTCTGCATTCGGTCTAGCGCAACAAAAAGCACCTAAAAGTTTTTTTCTGCCCTTTCTCCGCCCAGCTCACACATCTTGTTACATCTCCTGCTACTCTCAAAGATATTCAGAGATATTGAGACACAAACTTGTTTGTACTTGTAAGCTGTTAAGGAGTGGTTTCTGTAATTCAGTCAAGTCGAGTGAGGATCGTGTTCTGCTGCTGGCGTTTGAAGACAGATTACTTCTCTGAAACAGCAGAAACGTAAGTACATTTTTCATAGATTTACCATTAATAAAATTTCAATGTATAACAGTTTTAAAAGTGAAGAAAAGCAACACAATCTCAGTTTGCGATTGATTGTTTCATGATCTCAGTGAAAGTACTGAAGTCTGCCCTGATACATCTGCTCTGCCGACATTGACTTCCATAGTATAGGCCTATGTTTTTTTCCGACGATGGAAGTCAATGGGACCAGAAACTGTCTGGTTACTGATATTCTTCTAAATATTAGAAAATCATCTGAATGGATTTGAATATGGTAAAACTCGACTGTTTAACTCTGAGGGAGTTGGAGAATGAGCCTATTTAAAAAAAAGTGGAGTATCCCTTTAAGGCATTTTTTTTTTCAAAGACGATATACTGCTTTAAAAGTAACTGCAGACAGATCTGCTGCATGTCATTTATCAAAAAATTCTACATTATATAGTGTATTAATTGTCCTTAAAGTCCCTGTAAAAGTAATTCAACAAAAAAGTTCTAAACACATTATAAATGTTACATATGTATTGCTAAAACATATTACAAAGACTGTGAACTGTGAAGTTCTGAAATACGGAGTTAGACCGTTGAACAGTTTTTCACCCTTGATATTTTACGGATTTTTTGGGCGGGGCAAAAACAGGGCTCGATGACGCACTGGAGCCCA